GGAATTCCAAAATGACGTGATGCCGATTCTTAGTTCAAACTCAATAGTTGGTCTGTAAATCATTGCTCCACAAAAATGAATCGCCCATTTTAAATTGCAAAATATCTCGTCTTCTTCTTCTTCGCATTCAATGGTTGTAAACTCCGGCAGAAAGTTCTGGGTGTTCGCCCGCCTTCGGACTTGATCATATTCTAGAACCTGTTGCGGGCACATCCGTTTAACATATCTGGTTAATTTGTTTACAGACTCTTGGTTTTTTTGCTTCTCAGACAGAATGCAACTCAACTTGGAAGAATGGCCCCAATTAGTTGACTCCTAGGACATGCTTGTTGGGGAGGCAGTGGGTCTATTCTTGTCCCCCCCCCCCCCCAACGGGAAAGTTGCAGAACATAATGACTGCTGATAATCAGCAAGTAACAGCAACATCTACACTGCAAGAATGGAAAATCACTAACAATTTATAATTTGCATGGAAGAATAATCACCTACACAAAATATAGAAAAAAATCACTTCTAATTGCCAGAAGGAAAAATCACTTCTAATTTGCAAGAAAGCAAAATAACTTATGCTGTAAGAAGAAATATCCACTTTTACAACAATCACTTGTATATTGCAAGAAAGAAAAAAATCACTTTTACATAGTAAAACAGAATAATCACTTGTACACTGCAAGAAATAATAATCACGTGTACACTGCAAAAAAAATGAATTATCACTCATTGTACATTGTAAGAAAGAAACATCACTTCTACACTGCAAGAAAAGAAGTATAATATAAGAAGAAAAAAAAAAAAAAAAAACAGATCATTTTACTATGAAAGAAATAATTATCACTTTTACATTGCAAGACAGAAACATCACTTTTACATTGCCAGAAAATAAGTATAATATAAGAAGAAAAAAAAAATTTTTGCATTGCAAGAAAGAATAATCACTTTACATTGCAAGACAGAAACATCACTTTTGCATTGCACAAAAAGAACAATAACTTACATGAATGAACAATCGCTCTTACACTGCAAGAAAGCATAATTACATGCACGATGCAGAGGAAATATAACCACCTTTACATTGCAAGAACGAATAATCACTTTCATCTTACTTTGCATAAGAAAATCATCTTTGGTTTCCTTCAAACACATTAAAAAAAAAAAAAAAAAAGTCAGGTGCATCCAACAATATACAAATATAGGGAGTTCAAATGTTTAAAAAAAGGATATCAAATCATGGCTGTGAACGAACGAACGAACAAACAAACTTTATTTTTAAAGGGTTAAGAATTGTGAGAGAAAGAAAGACTTTGCAATCAACTTGTTTGTTCTCAACTGTCACTAAAATATCCAGTACTTTCAACTCTGTGAACTTAGAACTGTTGTGTTATTTTAAAATTGTTCAGTTTTTAATTATTATGTCCCCCCCCCCTCCCCCCCAAGATTTAATGGGTATTAAAACTATTCTTCATATTCAGCATTTTGAGTCCTCACGGTTCATTGCTGCAGATTTCACCTGCTTCCATCGATCTATGCGACTGGTCTTCTTAATTCAGATGGTGACTTCAAGTGTTTGTCATTCTGCCTGGATATTGTCTCTCCACTGTGTTTGTTGGTCTGTCACATAGTATACTCACATTCAACTCCTGTGTATGCCGTTTTTGTCACTCTGCTATCTGCCATTCTCTCTCTGTGCCTCAATTATTGCAGTCTGTTACCCTCATAATCAGTTAGTTAGTCTTTGCTCTGAGCCAATGGGCGGTACATAGGGCAGAGGTCATATCTCTCCATGTCTGGTGGTTCCTTGCCACCTGTTTTAGGTCTTGGATGTTAATTAGGCCCATGGCTGAGCCTTCCTTGATGACGGTTCCACGCAGTGTCTCTCTTGGTCTTCCCCATTTGTAGAAGGGATTCACACAGATCAAAAGAGTTGGAGACTGGGGATCTCAAAGAGCTTTGGGTTTGGCTCAAACATATAGACACGGAAGTTAAGAGCAGACTTAACAGTACAGTCATCTAATACGATTTGCAGTGCAAATCTTATGTTAAAAGCATTATAAAATTCCTGTGGGGAAATAGGAAGCTGAAAGCAAGATTATTCTTTGATGCATTGTGTAATTAATTCTGATAAAACATTCTAAAGTACGTTATATTTCTGGAAATTCGTTGATATTTATAAATTATTTAAATACTATTTGTTTACTGTTTTGAAATTCACATACAGAAATATTTCTCACAAATGAATTCATATATATATAAATATATACATATTTCTTCCCTCGCCCCCTTTCCCAGTCTACTCAAAATTACAACTCTATTTGTATGCAGTAAAAATGGTGCTGAGAACTAAAAAAAAAAAAAAGGCAAAATTTGAATTTTTTTCACTTTAAAGTAAAACAAAACATTACAGCCCTGTGCACGTAACATTTTCCAAGTATATTCAAAATCAGACTTCCGCAGCAAAAACATTTTTTTCCCATTCATTTTCAACATTAAAAAATGTACACAGATAAATTATCCCTGGCTTATTCAACATTGTAAATGTTAGAAGGTGACTTCCCCAAGTGTATCCAACATTATAGATCACACACAGCAAGTAAATTTTCACAAGCTCATTCAAAATTATATATCTTAACAACTGAATATTTCCAACCTTTTTTAACATTACAGATCTTAGCAAGTGAATTTGTCCAACATTATTCAACATTACAGATCTTAGCAGGCGAATTTTTCCAACGTTATTCAACATTATAGATCTTAGCAAGCGAATTTTCCCAACTATATTCAACATTATAGATTTTAGCAAGCAAATTTTCCCAACTACTTGACATTATAGGTCTTAGCAGGTGAATTTTCCAAACAATATTAAACAATATACATCTTAGCAAGTGAATTTTCCCAATTTTCTTCTTTTTGTTCCCCCTTTGTCATTCCTTACAAGTAAAGTAAAATCATTGACAATAGTTCTTTGAACAAATGCTTATTGCCAATATACATCTTCTACAGTGCCTCTACTGTATGCATCAGAAACATGGTGAATGACTACTACTACTACTTATAAACTATTAATATTCACTGAATGGTGATAACAGACGCTTTCTTTAAGCCACCAACTGGGCATATGATGCTAGTTATATTTGTCAATCAGCACACGGAAGGTGATGTGGTCAACACCCCCCCTCGGGTGCCTTTACTTCCCAAGACATTACCTGGGCTGGAGACAGAGAGACTTTCAGGCGTGTCGTGGAGCGAGCAATGTTCTATAGGGGACCTGTTGACTGACGGTAATAACCACAATAATAATAATTAGTTAGTTAGTTAGTCTTTCCTCTTGTGTCGAGTGCGGCACATAGGGCAGAGGTCGTGACTCTCCATGCACGGCGGTCCGTTGCAATCCGTTGTAGGTCTTGGATGTTTGAGTGGCCCATGAGCGAGCCTTCCCTGATGATAGTTCTACGTAGGGTTTCCCTTGGTCTTCCACGAGATCTTTTCCCCTGTGGTGTCCAAATGAGGGCTTGGTAAGGAAGTCTTGATTTATCCATTCTAAGGACGTGGCCGACATAGTTCCAGCGGCGTTTTCGTATAAAATTAGACACATACTCTTGCCTGGATTCTTGCCTTATTTGTGTATTGGTTCGGAAATCTGACCATTTGAAATTTAGTATTCTTCTAAGGCATTTATTTTCAAAACTGTCTAATTTTGTGTCTAGAGTTTTCGTTGATTTCCAACTCTCGCATCCATAGGTTAGTACTGGAATCACACAAGAATTGAAGATCTTGAGTTTTGTGTGTTTGCTAAGTGTCTTTGATTTCCAGATGTTAGACAGTTTATTGAAGGCACTAGATGCCAGTGCTATTCTAAATGATATTTCTGGTGCGGTATCTCCTGTAGATGACATCTTGCTCCCTAGATAAGTGAAACTGTTGACTTTTTCAAGGCTGTTGTTGTTCAGCGTGATATCAACTGAACTGTTGGTAAGGTCTAGAATTTTTGTTTTTGCGGTGTTAATTTGGAGTCCAATTTGTTCTGAGAAATTCTGGAGTCGATTGATTTTTTCTTGGGCGTCTGTGTGTTCTGAACTCAGGAGTGCTATGTCGTCAGCGAAGTCTAGGTCTTCCAGAATTTTGTCAACCCATGTAATGCCTAAATTTGCGTTATTTATGCACTTGCGCATGACCCAGTCGATTGCTATACCAAAAAGCATCGGCGATAGGACACAGCCTTGCTTCACTCCTGTTTCCACCGGGAACCAGTCAGAATTGCCGGAATCAGTTCTTACACAGCATCGTGTTTCATTATAAAAAGATTTTATGATGTTGATATATTTGATGGGGAAACCATAGATGTTAAGCAATTTCCAGAGTGTTGGACGATGGATACTGTCGAAGGCTTTTTGAAAGTCGACAAAGTTGATCAATAATTTCGACTGGAATTCTGTAGAATCTTCAACAATTATTCTAAGAGTAAAGATGTGGTCTATGCATGACCGCTTGGATCTAAAACCGGCTTGTTCTTCCCTTAATCTTTCATCTATTGATTTTTTCAATCTTTCTAGTAGCATACTACAAAATAGTTTCCCTGGTATCGAAAGCAGGGTGATGCCTCTCCAGTTGTTACAATCGGATAAATCACCTTTTTTAGGTAATTTGAAGATTACACCATCTTTCCATTGTTGTGGTGGGTATTCGTTTTGCCAGACTTCATCCATCAGCTGGAGCAAATGTTGCAGGGTGTTTTCATCCGCTGCTTTGAGCATTTCCCCTGAGATGTTGTCCTCTCCGGTAGCTTTGTTTATTCTTAATTTTTTAATAGCTGTTTTAATCTCCTCTATTGTGAATGACTCGCTGGAGGCAACTAGTGTTGGTGTAATAATTTCTTCTTCTAAATTGGCAATGATGTCAATAATAATAATAAATGCAGCAAATACTTTTCACGCTTGACAACATTAACATTTGGAGTAGCTAATACAAATAGGATCGTGTGTTCTACATCTTTTTTAACCAACTGTTCAATCGTCAACAAAATCAAAGGAAGGTGTCGCCGCAGATGGCAAATGGTTGCCGGCGTCTTCATGAGCTGGGGAGGAGGGAGCCGAGTCAGCGCTGATGTTCAGAATGGCGCTCAGCTGGAGACGGATGGCGTGGATGCGGAAATGTAGCCGGTTCTCCAGGTAATACCCTTTGTAATTTCTTCTGTGAAATGGAAAATAGGATAATTCTCTTGAAACAGAAAAACCATAGAACAGAATTTCTGAGAAGAAAAATCCCCCATAGTTGGTTTGATTTAATGTGTTTTCAGCAGCAAGCGCAGAGTTCCAATTTCAATGGTACCCGCAACAGCCTGACTGTATATCTGCCCCCCCTCCACTGAGCGTTGAGCTTGGGTCAGATCCTGTGGTCGCTTACTCACTGCACATTCTCTTCAGACCATGATGATCCCTCTGTGCCTCCTCACTGTTTACTCACTTCCAAAGGACCCTTTCAACATCTAGCTCATCATCATCACCATCATCAATCATCATCATCACTAATCATCATCATCATCAATCATCATCATCTATCACCAATCATCATCATCAATCATCATCATCATCATCAATCATCCCCAATCATCATCATCATCAATCATCATCATCAATCATCATCATCATCATCCATGCATCTATTTACCACCAAGTGGAGCAGAACCAGCCAGTCTATCTGCCTCTTCATTTGAAAATCAGCTATTTATTCTTGTCTAATAAAACCAGACTTATTCTCTTGATCATCTTCATAGTGTACCAGAAAAGACTGAAAGTACACACAGCATTAAGCTGTGTGATATCATCATCCTTTGTGTGAGGTTAAAGGTCACACAGGGCTCGCATGTGATTCCTCCACCCCCACTCTAACCCATGCAGCTTTCTCGAATTCTGACACAGAGTTCAGCCCAAACTTCTGCTTAATGTTTCCCTTGGAGGTCCTCTTTTTCTCGGACAATATGTTTCCCTTTTTAGTGCTTCTTTTGTAATTCTTTGCTCATTTCATCTCAGAGTGTGCCCAATATATCTTCACCTTCTCTGTCATATTGCAGTCGATACAGGTATTTGTGCAGACATTTCTCTGACCTCCCCATTGCTTTTTTTGTTGTTAAAAAGTCATCCCATTTTATGTTCATGATTTTTTAAATACATTTATGTTCAAATGCATTTAACTTTTGTTTCATATCTTTTGTAGTTCTCCAACTTTTGCTGGCATATGTTAGAAATGAAATAACGTTAGAAGTGAAGACTCGTAGTTTGGTTATACAGATGTATGGTTAGTTGCGTATCCTTTTCAGGACGTTGCAGAACCAACCCCAACAGCAGTTTGTCACTGCTTTCTGGTCGGTCGGCTTTCTTGATACCACTGTCGAAACCAACGCAAGGCGCATGGCCCGCAGCTGGGATCGAACCCGGCATCCCGGCATTATAAAGTGTTCGCATCGACTTAACCACAGAGCCGACTTACAGATGTATAACTTATATAAATTGTGTGCGGTATCAACAATAAATGTTGACTGCAATGCATCCAGTGTTGAGTTGAGTCAAAAATAGACATCATAACACTCGGGGCATTGCATACTACGTCCTCATCTTAAGCAGCCAGCGCAGAGTTCCAACACTAATGGTACTGGTCACAATCTGGTTATATGTCCATCTTGCCTTTCCTCTGAGTGTATTGAGCCGGCCAGACCCTCTGGTTACACCCAGGTGCCTCATTCTCTCCAGGCCATAATTGCATCCAGTGTTGTCTTCAGGTATAATAAGGCTCATAATTGTACTGAATGCCATGAGAATGTTTCACACCTTCTGCTTGACTTCTGACCATCCGCACTTACAACCATCCGCACTTACGACTGCAAAAAAAAAAAATTGAAAATGAATGAATCAGGATCTGACATCATTGCACTTGGTCCCCTTCTTCACTTGCCAAGGATGAGTCGTCATGCAAATAGTAGCAGTTGCAACCTGATTAAAAGTCCACCCATGTTTCCCCCCTCAATGTCGAACATCTTCCAGAATCTCTACACTCCCCCCATTGAATAAATCTTCCAGTGTAAAGATTCTCTATCTGTTCTATTGCACTGTCAATCTGATCCTATAGAGCCTTCACCACATCCACTTTATCATAAAGTAGCTTGACGCCCAGAGGAGCTGCAGCAGCTCATTACCGTGTACACCTGAATGTCCTGGACAGAAAATTCATGGTACTTTATTAATATCCTACCCCAAATAGGGGAAATCCACAGGTCACGGGACAGTCTAATATTTCAGGGTATGGTACAGGCTGCATGCAGTCGTGGGACCTGCTACACTCTCTCATGGGACCTAGGTGGGTTGGGTTTAGTGTCAGTTCTAGATGTTTTGGGGTCGTTAAAAGCATCACACATAGCTGGGAAACCCAGTATTACCACCCTCTAAAATGTTGAGGATTGTCCTGTGACGTCATCTGGGGTAGGACATTAATAAAGAACCAAATCCATGACATGTTCCTGATCTTATCATGTGATGCAAGCCATTCTGCATGCAGGACACCAGTTTTTATTTTCCAAAGCATGCCTTGTGAGTCTGTTACAATTACAACATGTCGGTCTACGCTGCTGGCAAGCCATCAGAATGCTGCCAACACTGCCTCCACCTCCATTCTCATACTGGATGTAGGGTGCTTTGTTAATATCTTACCCCAGATGACGTCAAAGGCCAGCCCAACATTTTAGAGGGTGGTAAGACTGGGTTTCCCGGCTTTCTGATGGGCTTTACGGCCCTAAAACATCTAGAACTGGCCCTAACCCCAACCCACCTACGTCCCATGAAAGAGTGCAGCCTAGGTCCCACGACTGCATGCAGCCTATCTACCACCCTCTGAAATATTAAACTGTCCCGTGACCTGTGGATTTCCCCTGTTGAGGGTAGGATATTATTAAAGCACCAATATAGTAACGCTGTACGCGAGGCTCTCTGTTTTAAACAATAAAGAAAAAAAATGGTAAAGAAAGAAAAATGACTACATTTGTAGGGAATAAGGTTCCCGGAACTGATGCCTACAGCGCAGCAGGGTCTAATTATACGCACAGCAAAAGAATTTCTGTGCTTTATGTACAATATTTATAATAACCCTTCTGAAAAAAAATAGTGTTAGAAAATATAAATTCGACTTATGACCAGTTTGACTTTCGCCCTTTTAGTTGGAAGGGAAATCAGTCATAAGTCAAGGAGTCCCTGTATCCATAAAGCGTCTGCCAAGGAAATTTAATCCTGAGAGGGTTTTGAAACTGTAAAACACATTCACTAACCCCTAGGTCAAACAGCAGCTGTGCATATACATGAATGCAAAGACCGATGGCAAAGACTATCGGAAGGAAGGAAGGACCAACTTTAGAAGAAGAGACTTACTTGGCCTTGTCCAGCTGCTTCTTCACATCAGAGAACCTCTCCTGCTGCAGGTAGAGAATGGCCAGCTCCACGATGCTGTAGGGGATCAGGTAGTGGTCACTCTGTAGCTTCTTCTCACTGTGTGGACACACGTGGACATGGGGATTTAAAACAGGCAAAGAAAGGTAAGGGAGTTTTAAGCCGTCCTCAGTTATGACTCTCAACCCCTCTTCTGGCAGCCAGTTACTATGGTGAACCCTATGCCAGCCAATTACTACTGTATATGCTCTGCCAAATTAATCCACTGAGCTGTGACTAAGAAGCTTAATGAGGGGAGGGGAACAACGTACAAACACACTAGCGGAGATGATATCTCTGTCACAAAATCTTTCGCTGGTGATCAAACCATGCGTTTCTCATTGTAAAATCACCTCATCCATAGCTTAGGTGTTCTGAACCCAGCAGGAGTGGTCACTCTGTAGCTTCTTAACACAGTGTGGACACACATGGACATGGAGATTCAGAATAGGCAAAGGAAGACAATAAGAAGTAAGGGAGTTTTAAGTCCACCTCAGTTCTGACTCTTAACCTCTCTTCTGCTAGCCTGTTACTATTGCCACTCCTCTGCCAGCTAGTTACTATTTTAACAACTCTGACAGTTAGTTACTGTTTTAATCCCCTGACAGCTGGATACTATTTTAAGCCCTCTGAAAGTTGGTTACTATTTTAATCACTCTAACAGCTGGTTACTATTTTAACCTTTCTGACAGTTAGTTACTTTTCAAACCTCTCTTACAGTTAGTTACTATTTTTAACCCTCTGACAGCTGGTTACTATTTTAACCCCTCTGACAGTTAGTTACTATTTTAACCTCTCCGACAGTTAGTTACTAGCTAGTTATTACTTTAACTTCTCTCCAAGAGCTGGGATTTTTTCACGTGGACTTGGACTTCTAGTAATTTCCCTTGGTCTCAGGGTAGTGAGATCGGACACCCGTGTGCATTGTGGCGCAAGTAAAAAATCCCTTGGCAGTTGGAAATTGAAAAGAGTAGCCTAAAGGTGCTGCCTAGGCAAAATTTTGAGTTAAAAATCTACCTTAAGTATTTTAGGATCCTTGCCGGTGCTACAGAGCCTGTGCACAGTGCTGAGCTTCTTCGGACTCAGACTTGAGGTAGAAGAAGAACAGAGCACTTATGGGTTACTATCGGTGTGCGTCATGATGTTGATCCAGTGTTCAAAATCTCAAACCCTCCTCCTCATTATTACTCTGACTCCTTTCCCAATCATTATTACTTTAACTCACCTTCTCCGCCATCATTACTTAACTCTTCTCCCAGTCATTATTATTTTAACTCCCTCTCTTGCCATCATAAATAACTCCTCTCCTGGTCATTATTAATTTGAACTCCTCTCCCAGAATAATACTTTAACTCACATCTTTTCCAATCAGTAATGACTTTAACTCTCAGCCAGCTGCCAATTGTCTGTTGTTCGTGTACACCACAGCTAACTTTATCAACAACAAAAAGCTCTAAACAACAACTGAAAACAAAAGTGTATGTACTGTACTCTGGTGTGGAAGACAACTGGACACCTACTTTTCTGCGACTTCAAGGAAACACTGCTCAGCCTGGAACAGCTGCCCTCTATGCCGCAGGTAGACGCCTTTTAGCAGCAACACCAGGGTGTAGTTGTCGTAGTAAAACTTGTCCTCGCTGGCAGGATCTGGCCAAAAATGATGAAACTGTCACTTGGATTTCATGGAATTATTGTAGGCATCTTCTTTTTCGGTGCTATATTAATATCCTACCCCAAACAGGTGAAATCCACTGGTCACGGGACAGTCTAATATTTCAGGGGGTGGTAGATAGGCTGCATGCAGCATTGGGACCACTCTCTGGTGGGACGTAGGTGGGTTGGGGTTAGGGCCAGTTCTATATGTTTTGGGGTCAGTAAAAGCATCAGAAAGCCGGGAAACCCAGTCTTACCACCCTCTAAAATGTTAGACCGTCCTGTGACGTCACCTGGGGTAGGATATTAAAAAAGAACCTCTTTTTCTCCTTCACATTCACCAGTTGTAAATCACGGCGGAAAGTTCTGGTTATTTGTCCACCTTTCAGACTGTATTTTTGTTCCAGAACTTAAGTTTTGCGTGCACATCCATTTTACAGACTTGGCTTATTTGTATGCAGACTGTTTGTGCCTCATCTCCCATGTAAAACTACTCAATCAGGTGCCGTCTCCATAGTGAAGGTTGGCCACAATGGATCTCCAACATGCTCTGTCTCTTGCCCTGGTTATACACTTTATCAGACTGCTGCCAATCCATCTTTTGATGCTGTCCTCCCACTTGTATTGTTGCCTACCTCTTGCTCTCTTGCCTTCACCCTTTCCCTCCAGTATGGTTTTTAAATGTGTGTTATATCTTTTAGTGTTGCCAAAGTATTTCAATTGTCTCTCTTTTTTTATTTATTTTAGTAATTCTCTTTTCATCTGTAGCCTTTCCAGAACCTCTGTATTTTACTGTTTTTTGTTTGTTTCCAAGAAATACAACCTATTCTTTCTGCATACATACGTCTACAGAGACTCAATTAGATTGTCTAATTGCTTGTTTATTGTCCAAGTTTCTGCACTATATAGCAGGACTGAGTATACATAACATCTGAAGATTCTCATACTTAGTGTGTTGTTTATATCTCTAGCTGTCAGTAACTTGCATATCTTATTGAAGAGTGTTTTAGCCATTCCTATTATCTTTTTGATTTCAGTTTCACTTCTTCCATCATCTGTAAACATCACTAACAGCCAACAAATACTAACGCTGGTTTGCAACAACCTATAAAGGATACACAACTAACTAAACTCTCTTCCTCTTTGCTCTCTTCTTCATTTCCCCTTTTACTCCTTCAGGTGCCGGGGGAGATATAAGGTTTGGTTTTCTACTCTACTGGCTGCCTTGACCAGCCAAATCATGCTGTTGTAGAGTTTCTCTGATGACATCTTTCCATCTCTTCCTTGGTCTACCATGTGCCATGGTCTTCTCCTCTGTTAGTGGATGTTGCCTTGTATGGTTCAGCGTCACAAGGCAGTCTCTCTAAGTGTGGGCAAACCATTTGATTTGCTGTCTTTGAATGTAATTTGAAAATTGTTCTGTGCTAACTTCTTCTCTTACAACCTCATTCCGGATTATATCTCTTCCATTCACTCGACCCCCCCCCCCCCCCCCCCCCCCCCCCCCCCCCCAGATATCTCATTTCCATGGTTAATATTTTTATTTCCTGTTTAATTGTGAGGGACCCTGTGAGGCACTGATAGAATAGGGTTGGAATGAATATACTTTGTATGAGAGTGTGAGTAACTTTCTATGGTTATTCTCATAATTATTCAACACATCATACTTAAGGCTGGTTATTATCACTATGATTCTACACCTCATCCTTAAAACACTGGTTATTCTCACAATTATTCGAAATATCATCCATAATGCTGATTATTACCACAGTTATTGTACATCTCATCCTTAATGCTGGTTACATCCACAACTATTCTACATTTACTCTCTAATACTGGTTATCTTCACAACTATTTCACATCTCATCCTTAAAGCTGGTTATTCCCACAATTATTTTATATCACATCTTTAATGCTGGTTATTCCCACAATTATTTTATATCACATCCTTAATGCTGGTTATTAACCTAACCACTCTATATCTCATCCTTAAAGCTGGTTATTCACACCATTATTTTACATCACATCTTTAACGCTGGTTATTCCCACAATTATTTTACATCACACTTTAATGTTGGTTATTCACTTAAACACTCTATATCACATCCGTAATGCTGGTTATTCCCACAATTATTTTATATCACACTTTGATGCTGGTTATTCACACAACCACTCTATGTCTCATTCTCCATGTTCTCATTCTTATCATCATGATACATATTACACACTCCAGCTAACCACTTCTAAACATTAACAAAAGCTTACCTTTCTTGCTGGTCATTTCTGTTATTGTTCTTTCCACCACCACCAACATCCTCTCTAGTAGATTTATGTTCTTGCTTAGTATATTGTATCCATTCCACACGTAGATCAGTTCCTGTAAAGAAAACAGGGTTCAAATATGCACATATAAATTGAACTGTAAAGGTATTTTTATTCTTCTGCCTTTCAAGCCACCAATGAAGCATAGGCCCTCAATAAACTCACGCCAAATCGTTCTGTCCTTTGCTATCGCATGCAGCTCTCCCCATGTCCTCCCCATCTTTCTAACTTCCTTCTCCAACTCCCATCTCCAAGTGTTTTTTTTTTGGCCTTCCTTTATTCCTATACTCCTGTGGGTTTCAATGCAAAGACATTCTAGTTAAATTTTTCTCCAGTTTTCTCATTGTGAGTCCTATCTATCGCCAGTATCTTGTCTTCACCTCTTTGTCTCTGGAGCTTGCTTAGTTCTTTCCCAAAGCTCTACATTAGTGATTCTATCATACTATTGTAAATGTAACATGCACTAAATACGGACGTTAAAACTTCTTGTTCTTAGCGTTACCCGGCAGTAAACTTCAGCGGAAAGCCCTGGTTTTTCATCCACTTCTGAATTTTAGTCTTGTTCCAGAACCTTATTTGTATGCAGACTGTCGGTTCCTCACCTCTCAGGTATATGCACTCTTTCAAAGGAAAAACTTACCGTTTATGCAGTAAAGCAGGGCCATTCAACTTGTGGCCCACGGAGGCTTAGCAAGTGGTCCACAGATCAGTGCCATTTCTATTGTTGTTGTTGTTGTTGTTATTGATCCAGCGTCGCATGAGCTTTCGCCGTTTGACCCAATGCCATGTAGTGGAATTTGCATGTTTTCACAAGCTGTTCTTTTCCTCCGTACAAGGTGTTCCACTTGTCTGGTCTCGGAGGAAGTAGCATTCTTCTAGTCTCGCTGAGTTTTGTGCACTCAAAGAGATTGTGTTCAACAATTTCGTAGGCGTAGTTACATAGCTGGCACTCTGGGAAGTGTTGTGGTTGTATTCTGTTTAGATGTCCACTGAGTGGAGTATGTTGTGTTCTAAGTCTGAAGATGGTGGCCTGGTCCCTTCTTGTTAGATGGTTAATGCCCATTTCTATTGTAATAATGATCTTGCGATGCAGCCTGTGGGGCTTCTGGCCCACGACTATTCCCATTTTCAAAATTATGTCCCCTGAGAAAACTTGCTGGTTAACCTTCCCGTAAAGCATCACAGATAGGAGTTAGATGTAATTTCCAGTCTTTATCTAGTTGCGTAGCTTGTATTAATGTCACACAGCGTTTCTGTAGTTTCTTTTACTTCCTCCACCCATGTCTTTCGTGGTCGGCCTCTGGCCTTGCAGCTTGCTGTTCTTGTGTAGTACATGGTGTTTTATGTATTAAATCCAATTATAAAATTACAACTTTAAGCTTTCAGTTAAACTGCTGCTTAGAGGTAGAAAGTCTTATACACACACACAGTTGGAGCCTTGTTTCTTGGAAGCCAAGCATGGCCTATACTTCTAGTGCTACACTGTCACGTGCAGCGTCTCATTCGCTGAGCAGCAACCTAGTGCCTGAATGATATAGATTCTACATGACTGGGCAGAAATTCTCCGTGCACCAGCATTGGTCTGGACTAGAGTGGGGTATAAAATCTTATAGCTGCAGCCTTGTTTCTTGGAAGCCAAGCATGGCCTATACTTCTAGTGCTACACTGTCACGTGCAGCGTCTCATTCGCTGAGCAGCAACCTAGTGCCTGAATGATATAGATTCTACATGACTGGGCAGAAATTCTCCGTGTACCAGCATTGGTCTGGACTAGAGTGGGGTATAAAATCTTATAGCTGCAGCCTTGTTTCTTGGAAGCCAAGCATGGCCTATACTTCTAGCGCTACACTGTCACGTGCAGCGTCTCATTCGCTCAGCAGCAACATAGTGCCTGAATGATATAGATTCTACATGACTGGGCAGAAATTTTCCATGTACCAGCATTGGTCTGGACTAGAGCTTTTTTTTTTCTTTTCTAGCGGTATGCAATGGTATACCAGGTCCAAGCACATTTTTGAAGACATAATTTTTCCCAATACTATTGAGAGATTAATGGAAAAAGAGAAAAGTGAAGGCAAAGAAAAACATATCTGGATGGCCTGGCCTAATGGATGGGCGCCAATACAAGAACACTGACCCGATCCAAGATTCTGGTGACTGTGTGAGAGGCCGAACAGTGACTGCCTATGCCTATCAGTATGGCATATGATGATGATGAGTTCACCACTGCTTTCTTAATGGATTAACACTCCTACCACTGTCGATGAGAAATTAGCTACAGCTGACTTTAACGTATGATGTTAAAATGCTTCATGTATTTCATAATAAAAACCTTACAGATACCGGGCAAATAAAACACATGATACATTTTAAAAAATGTACTATTCAATTTATATAAATTTAGTAGTTAACAACTAGAAGTCTCCCAAATACTGTCAGGATATAATATGTTGATTAAAATGTAAAACACAAATCAATATCAAACAATAAATACATTTAATAGAAAACAAATAATTCAAAAGTTAACCTACAATAAATTGCTAAATGCAAATCATTGAAAAAATAAAATAAAGTGAAAATAAATCAATTGAAAAAAATCAATAAACTGAAAAAATTAACAACTAATTGAAAAAAATCTAATGAAAATAAATCAATTATCAAGTGGAAATAAATCAACAATCAAATTTTTAAAAATCATCAATCAAATAAAATAAATCAACAATCAAATACAAATAAAACAAAAAATCAATAGCATAAAATAAAATAAAATAAAAAATTATTAAATTGAATTTTAAAAAAAAAACAATAAACTGAAAATTATATAAAAAAAAAAAAAAAAAAAATTGCAAATAACAGTTAATTAATACAAACCAATAGGTTGCAAACAAACAAGGACTCACAAGTGCCGGAAGGATCAGATAGTTCCCCTGCTGGAAGTAGCGCTGTGATTTGGCCACGGCAAACTTTTCGAACGGCAACGATTTTCCCGCTATTCTCTGCTTCAGCCTTGGGACTTCACTATAATTCACACCAGTTGTGAAAAAAAAAAAAACCAATTAATAAAGATATAAACAGTTCTGTTAAAACTCTTTTTAAATCCCAAGTAACTGTAACTTTTACAATATCCATCTCACCCTATTTATATACAAATTCCAGAGTTTTGTTAAATTCTTTTTAAATCCCAAATAACTGTAACTTTTACAATATTCATCTCACCCTATTTATATACAAATTCCACAGTTCTGTTAAAACTCTTTTTAAATCCCAAGTAACTGTAACTTTTACAATATCCAGAAAGCATGACATATGAGTCAACCAACTAACTGGCAGCTTCCTTCAAAGTCAGAGTGCATCTGCCTGACAGGTAAGGAACCAACCCTCAGCATACAAATAAGCCAGATCTGTCAAACAGATGTGCATGCGGCACTCAGGTTCTGGAACAAAGAGGTAGATGAAGAACCAGAACTTTCTGCCAGAGCTGACAGCTGGTGGGGCACGTAGAAGACGAAGAAGAAACGCACTGAGGTTTATCCCTGGTCGCTCGGCCTCCTTCCACAGAGCAGCCAACCACGTGCCAAGAACTCCACAGACAGCCATGAAATCCAGTTTTCTGAATATAACATGCTTTAAAGATTAAATACAACTGCAGTGTGAAAGATGCTGACTGTAAGGCACGCCTGCATGTTCAGTTTGAGACGTAAAAAAAAAAAAATTAATTTGTTCGATCATTCGCTTCCCGGGGAATCTCCATTAATGTTGTACTCATGAACTGAGTGGTGCATTTTGAGAAACAAACACATGAGCATTAGACATTGAGGCAAATGGTCTAACAACCACTTTGCCATGAAGACCCCCTTTGACAACTGGGACAGAATGGATTCATGTAATACTGGGTCTCATAAAACCCCCCTCCCCCCCCCCCCCCAAAAAAAAAAATACACTAGGTGGTGATATGAGGCCTATCCTAAAGTGATTATTTTAGGCCCATCTTTAGGTGGTGGCAAACTACTGGACTTAAATTTGCCTATAAAACCACATCCGCCAAACAAATGCTGGGGATGGTTCTGCAACATCCTGTAAAGGATACGTAACTATCTTATAAACCATCTAAACAAAAATAATAAACAGACTCTTGGAACTCGGCTATAGAATCAAAATATATTCACCACACAAACATACTCTTGGAACTCAGCTAAAGTAATCAAAATATATTGACAACACTCACCTGAGCAGGTAATCAATGTGTTTCCGTGTGTCCTCACTCTGGTCCGAGCACATGGACAGAAAAGCTGCTTTCTGATACGTGTACGTGGCCTTGCTCCATCGGCTCTCCTTGCACAGCCTCTCTGCATATTTCATAGCCATAAGCCAGTCACTTTTGAAGCTGTCACGGAGTCATCAAACATATAACTCAAATCATTTATTACCATAGTAGAATATTGACTTCAGTTGAGCTCAGTTGAGTTAAGAAATTGACATCACAGCACTTGGGGCATTCCTATGGGTGCTCCGTCTCATCTTTACAACCAGCGCAGAGTTCCAATACTGATGGTACCGGTCACAATCTGGTTAAATGTCCGTCTTGCCTTTCCTCTGAGTGTAGTGAGCTGGCCAAACCCTCTGGTTACACCCATGTGCCTCATTCTCTCCAGGCCATAATAATCATGTTTATCTACTGATTCCTTTGCTTGTTCCCAAAGAGCCTTGATAAATTTTTCATTTCAATATTTACTTATCACCCATTCATCGCCCTGCTGTACTAATATATGTCACATAGTTCTGATATATCCTTGCAAATCACAGACAAAATCCAGTGCAGAACCTTTGGCTACTCTCATCAATATTTGCCTCAGGGTTTCTCTTGTATACCCTCCTTTTCCTCAATCTCTCTATTTCCCATTGCAGTGACTGTTTGGAGATTCTCTGTCTCTTCTCAAAATGTGCATAATACAACACCATCTACTCTGTCTCTTCTCAAAATGTGCATAATACAACACCATCTACTCTGTCTCTTCTCAAAATGTGTATAATACGACACCATCTACTCTGTCTCTTCTCAAAATGTGTATAATACAACACCATCTACTCTGTCTCTTCTCAAAATGTGCATAATACGACACCATCTACTCTGTCTCTTCTCAAAATGTGCATAATACAACACCATCTACTCTGTCTTATAACTACTGATACTAGTGGTTGCCCTGACATTTCTTCTATTTCTTCACATCTCTTGAATTCATCACCTTTCATGTTTATCTGCTTCCTCAGGCATTTGTTTTCAAATGCATATTTGAGGGCTAGGTTCACGTAAATCTCCCCTAAACAAAGTAGGTCACTTTTCATTAACAAATTTGCTGAGCTGGTCGACTTTCCTGAAGGTTACAGGTGTGTCCTGCTCTGTTGTCTGCTTTCTGCATTGTCTTGCATTTACATTTTCATTACGAGAAAGAGAATGCATGTGACATAGGTTGCAGCACTCTCTAGGGGTGTTGTGTTAGGAGCAGTTTATCCATGTTTTTGGAGTGTTAAAAGGGCTGGCGTGCTGAAATATACAACACGTGATATAAATGGCATTGCGGAAAACCCCCATAACCTTGTGCCAAGGTAACAGGTTCATGAACTACTAATCAGAAGTAAGCTAGTGTGTACATGGGCGGCGCGTAGGGAGACCAACATTACTTTAACCTATTTAAGTTTTGTTCCGTATCTTTAGCAGTTTTCCCCCTTTATACTCATCATTAATATAGACACATCATTAATATAGACAAACAGAGGAGTGACACAGGGATGTGTTGTCCCAAAGCCTTTTCAACTTATATAAAGCCTTTTCAGACAAGCTGGAGAAAAGCTTGGAAGTAAATGAGCAAAAACAGAAATTATGACTTGAAAGCTCAATAGCGGGAAAAGAAAAGGTGCGCAAATACAACTGAATGTTTTGATTCCCCCCAAAAACCGACAAAATTTTTTGAAACATTCGGTTGGATTTGTGTGTATCTTATCCTTTCCTTTCCCCAAGTGAGACTTCTAGTCACAGTTTCTTCGCTAAAGCCTTCAAATGTATTTTTTTTTCTTTTGGCCGAGATTTGCTGACACATTTTCCTCGTACGTGAAATTAAAGTAAATAGTTCCATTGCCAAGCCACTGTTTAGTGCTTGGTGCGACACAGTCAGCTGTGAAACTCATATGGAATGCTTTTCATTTGTGTCCAAGGTGGTTTGTGTGGTGAACTGCATATTCAGAAAAAAACCCGTGGTCTCAGAACTGAAACAGTCTTATGCATATCTAACTGCTAGTTTATCACAACTGCAGCTTTCATCGATGATGAATTGAAATTCTTGTGATGAACTGTTGGTGTTGGCACCTCTGTTAGTAGCCTTATACATTTAATGCATAGCACATTGTTGGGTTTTTTGGGGGGAGAAGGGGGGGGGGAGGATGGGCGGGGGTTCCAAGGGACAGTAATAGGCATTTTGTGTGGTTTTTGCCGGCACAGGAATGGGGCACTTAGGGTTTTATCCATCTGCTATGAAGCTCTAAAGGACCCCTTTTCCACACCTTAAGGCATACTGGGCTAGACCTATAATTTATAGACCAATCCGCACTTGGCGGGTGATGTGGTCAGCATCACGAATGCCACCTTTACATACGAGGAATTTTAGCTGGTACTCATTTAAGGCTGGGTCGACCTGGGAGCCGAAACCATTTTTTGAAGAAAAAAAAATTCCACCACTATGAAATTATAACTGCAACTAAAGACTAAATTGTAAATCTTCTTCTTCTTTGCTGTCACTTGCAATAAACTACAGTGGAAAGATCTGAGTGTTTGTCAACCTCAGGACTTTAGTCTTGTTCCAGAACCTGAATGATCCCTGCATATCCATCACAGATGTGGCTAATATGTATGCAGACCCTTGGTTCCTTGCCTCCCGGGCAGATGTACTCTGATTTCGATGGGAACATCTCTAAGTAGTCAACTCCTATGATATGCTTGCTGGGGAAGCAGTGGGTCTATTCTTGTGTTCCCTGCAATGGGGTCCCAGAACCCACAATGGGATACCTTGTAAATGCAAATCTTATGTTATATACTAAACCGATCAAGCACTCACCAGTGACACCACATCAGTTCCCAGTAGCATAAATGGTGGAACTGCCTCCACTCACTCTGCGAGTCTATGCTCTCTTCAAACTTTCCTATAGCCTGAAATTAATACAAAGAAATTATGTACTGAATGCTCTTTGCAAGAAACGCTGCAGCAGTATAATCCTTTTGAACTGAGAAGCCTGAATCTAATCCACGTCGGAATTTATGTCCATATTTGCAGTGGTTTGTTCTCAAAAAGCGTAATTAAATGCTACTGGTCCTATGCGTGCCTCAGCTGGTGTTTAACAGGCCATGATATTAATACAGTAACTAAAAATAGCATTTAGAGGGGTTTTCTTATGACCCCAATTAATTTTTTTAAAGCCAGGTTGATGCCATGAGGCCTCACTGATAGAGGTGAGGGCAAGTCATTCAGCTTTAATAAATGCTACAGAATGTATTCCATTCAATGCTTCACTCTGTTCACACTTATTTATTATCCTTTTATATATCTTTATATTTTTTGAAGAAAAAAAAAGACAATTAAAACTGTAAATTAAATTTTTGTAGAAATGCATCTGTAATCTGCATAATATGTTTTTTTTTAAAAGAGCTGGTTTTCAAGAAATTACTGCGTGGTCATATCCCATTTTTCTAGCATTCACCGGGAGAAAAGATTATATTATAACTTCATGAAGTGGCTGATTACCCCCCACCCCTCCCCCCAATGGAATGATTCAGGTGGGTGGCAGTAACTCGGGTAACAGACAGGAAAGGGAGAAGCATCGGAAAATTGGAATAATTCAGAGATGAGGAGTTGTAGCAGGTTAGCTGCCCCTAAGAGAGGGCTCAGACAGTGACAACAAAAGTAAGGCAGAGAGAGAGAGAGAGAGAGAGAGAATGAGAGACAGTGAGAGAGAGAGAGAGAGAGAGAGAGAGAGAGAGAGAGAGAGAGAGAGAGAGAGAGAGAGAGATTGTGTGTGCAGGTGAGAGAATCTGTGTGTCTCTTTCTTTCTTCCCGTGTGGGTTCCCCATTGTGGGGAAGAACAAGAACAGACCCACTGCCTCCCCAACAAGTGTGTCGTCAGAGTCAACTAACTGGGGGGTTTCCTTTGAAGTCAGAGAGCATCTGCCTGAGAGGCAAGGAACCAACAAGCTGCTTATAAACAAGTTATGTCTGTAAAACGTACATGCAGGTTCTGGACTAAAAAGCCCAGAAGTGGATGAACAACCAGAACTTTCCATCGAAGTTTACAGCCGGTGAAGGCAAAGAATGTAAAAAATAATAAAATTATAGATCTTGAGATAATATTTCAATTGACAGATTTTATACTTATACAACCAGGGTGTTGTGTCTGGTGATAGGCAGCAGTATGCAATCCCAGACTACCTTTTTATTAAAGGCATCATTAATTTTTTGTTCTAATGTAATATACACTTTTTTTTGTAGAAAGAAAAAACCTGGGATATAACAATTATCGGCTATCTTCCGAATAACGGTCCTAAATTATCGAAGCAGAAAATATACCCTAACAGGGCCTCAGTCACGTGTCAATTGTGCACTTCCGGTGACTTAAATTGCGCACTTCCGGTGACTTAAATTGCGCACTTCCGGCGACTTCCGCCACCGCCGTGAGTACCCCCCGTCGCGCGTCCCCACGCCGCTCATGCGGCGTGGATTGGGGCTAAACTAGATAGCTGGGACTCATGAGCAGTAGCTACTACATTTCCTGTAGCTGCCTTCATTTTATTTGCTTGTGAGTCCTAGCCATCTAGTTTAGCCCATATCCACGCCACGTGAGCGGCCTGGGGGACACGCGGCAGGGGATACTTTCGGCTGTGGCGGAAGTCACCGGAAGTTCGTAATTCTGCGGCGGCTGTATAGTCCCCGGAAGTACGCAATTGACACATGACTGAGGCCCTGTTAGGGTATATTCTCTGCTTCGATAATTTGGGACCGTTATTCGGAAGATAGCCCAATTATCAATCTTGGGATAACACGTAAGATAAAAGAATTTGAGCATAATTAACTGAATTCCCCAAAATCTTTGCACTAATATTCAACAATAACAAAAAAAAAAAAAAAGAAAACAGACAACATCACCTACTTCATCAATGTGACCCTTGACCTCTTCCAGTCTGCCAGCGAAAAACAGAAACAGCGCCCCCTGAAAGAAAAATCAGAACATGTATTTCAACTCCCTCAGGGCCAAGCACTCAGCATGTGTTTACTAGAGTTATCTAACATGATAAACCTTCATGAGCATCCCCTACCCTACCCAGCTGTAGCTGCAACTTATTCTATCCCAACTGCTATTTCAATTCCTTTTGTCCCAGAATGTTATTACTTGTACCTTTTTAGAGGTGGAGGCGGTCACAGCAGCTTTCCGATGGCTAGAGAACATGACACACACACACATCATGACTGAAACTGACTCAGAAAGCATGCTGATGAAGATCAGGACAGGCATGCTTTGTGCAGAGTGGCATGCTTCGCTGTGAAGGATGCTGGTGAGGAGTATAATTCTACAATAAGGGTGACTGACAATTCTAAAATAATGGACTGAATGATAATTCTAAAATAAGGATAGACTCATAATTCTACAGTAAAGGACTGACTGACAATTCTACAATAAGTGATTTAATGATAATTCTACAATAGGGGATAAACAGATAATGCTACAATAAGGGATCCATTAATAATTCTACAATTAGATTTTGACTGATAATTCTACAATAAGGGATTGTCTGATAATTCTACAATAAAGGATTGTCTGATAACTACAATAAGGGACTGACTAGTAATTCTGCAATAAGAGATCGACTAATATTTCTAAAAGAAGGGATCACTGATAATTCTGCAACAAGGGATTAACTGATAATTCTGCGATGAGGTGATTAATGCTATTTCTCTTTCGCAACACCTGCTTCTATCCCATCTTCCACAGCTCTGAACTGAGGAGGAAACTAAGAAAACACACTATATTTTTAGTTACGTCCTTCTTAGGATGTAATTTTTTGTTATTTGAAGCCCCACTCTGGCTTTTGCCAGAGGTCGCAATATAGGCAGGCCATCAATATGGCCAATTGTCTGAACGCGGTTGCTGGGACCTCTCCACGGTGATCCTCATCCGCATGGTGGCACTTTGTATCATCGGGTGTTTATCGCTTGTGTGATGTCCTGGTGGGGTAGAAAGTCAAGTTCAAGTTCAAGAAAACACACATAAAGCTACACAAAAAATAAAAGAAACACAAGACAAACCTTTGGATGATCTCTTAAGCAAGGCTCCAGTAGCTTGGTAGCTAACTCTATATCCCCATCTCCTAATCCTGGATTTAAAAAAAATAATAAAACAGATGATATATTTAGCCACTGACCAATCATTGCTAAACACAACTGTCTCTGTTAGCTACTCATTTGGCACAAGGATGGAGGGAGACAAGAGAACTGACGTGATCTGTGATTCTGGTGATCGTGTAAGATGAAGAAACATTGTAAACTATTCCTATTGGCAGGGCCTGTGATGATGATGGTACAGGAATATTATTAATAAAATTTATTCAGAACACTAAGGAACAAGACCTATGAAGAACACAAAATGCTTACACCAACTGGCAGAGCATATGAAACAAAATATACATTTATCTATCAGTTAGTTTTTGCCCTGTTGCCCCGAAAAGCCGGTTTTCCTACCTTTAGGGGTTTTTGATAACGTGACTTCTGTGGGCAGTGGCCAATTAACCTATATGATAGCTTTGGTACTGGCTGCAACTGCACAGTGTGTAGATATGGTGGGTATAATAATGTTTACAAAACAAACATAAAATAAAACACTTGGGGGGGGGGGGGGGAAGGGGGGATATCTGGGGGTAAGAAAATTATATTTTTTGTGTGACTGTGTCACGTCTTACAACGATGTCACTTTGCTCTCTGTTGTTGTGTCCGAAAAAAAAAAAACGCTTTCTTAGAGGGAAGGAAAGCTTCTATTTCTTTGCTCAGTATGTATTTAAAGATTAGTTGCCTATAAATAAATAAAGATTAAAATAATCATTTTTTGCACAAAATAATGACTTTAAATATATATTTTTTAAAAATTTAATCCATCTTTTTAGCGACCTGGGATGTGAAAAAACACAAACAGCTAGCAGACTTGCCTGTCTTGCTGACAGCATGACACAAATCTTGAACTCTGCAGCTCCTGCGACAACTTTTAGGGATCTGCATAAACACTGCACTCAGGAACTAAACATCGTAGGCTCAGATGCAAACCCAAGACCTCCAGAGCCTAACCACTTAGTCACACAAACAGTGGTGGCCAAAAGTTTCATTCTCTCAGTCCCAAGGAATGCATCTGAGGTTCCTTCCTAGAAGCCCAGTGAACTCAAGCATGCACCGATTTTACATCTCTCTTTACTACCCCTTCAGCCTCTGATGCTAAACCCCCTGGGACTGAAAGAGTTAAGACCATCTGGTAAATAACTGATCTTTCTATACCATTATGGACTATTACATCTAGTGCTTTTCTAAGGGCCTACTAAAGATTATCATGTTGTCAAAAAATAGCAGCTGCACTCCATAAAAACTATTAAAAAAAAAAAAGGATCCTCCAAAATGCAGTGCCAAAGTTAGTGGAACAATCCTCAAGCAAGTTGGTATGTTTAAGTACTTGGGTAATCTGATAAAATCAGATGGAAGATGTATTAAAGAAGTTAAATGTAGAACAGCTCAAGCAGAGGCAGCATTTTATAAAATGAAGAATATTTCATGCAATCTTTCTTTGTCAAATGAGAAAAGAAAGAAAATTCTCAAGAGCTATATACTCCTATTCTTGTATACAGAAGTGAATTACAGACAGTTGGCGTTTAGTGACAAAGTATAAGGAGGCTCTAGAGATGTAGTTTTATAGACGGATGATGAGAATACCTTGGACAGATAAACAGAGTAATGAAGATGTATTGAAAGAAACTGGCTCACAAAGAGACAACTTATTTACCATATTAGAATGAGACATTTTTTGGTTGATCACGAGCATGAGATGGAGAACATCGCGACAGTGGAAAATTTGGAGAGGAAAAGAGGCAGAGTGGGAGAGTGAGGGGGGGGGGGGGAGGGGGGGGGGGGGGGGGGAGGGGGGGAAAGTGGACAGACAGAGAGAAAGAGATAGAGACAGAGAGACAGAGAGACAGACAGACAGACAGACAGACAGACAGACAGACAGACAGACAGACACAGAGAGAAGATGCTGAAAACTTGAGATATGACACAGAAGGTCATCTGTGAGAGAACATTGAAAGTATAGAGAACTGAAGGCTGTGGAGAGACATGATTATCAATGCCATGCGGCATGAAACCAAAGAAGAAATGTGGAAATAAGAATTACTGATGAGGTAATCTGAAACTTTTGGCTACCGCTGCACATAGCAATCTATCAGTTTCTGGCAAATACAATAAGAATGGAAGAATAAACAGATAACTTACCCAAAACATACGTCACAAGAGAGTGGTAGGCCACAAAAATTAATATACACAGCTTGCTCCTTAAGCCCCCATGCAACTCGCATGCTCTCTGCATTTCTGTTAGTCCCAGTTTCTGCACAGAGATAAACAAAATGAATAAAGATGAGATAAAAAATATGAAATCATAACTTAGATAATACGTGAAATTTAAACCAAAAAAAAAGGACATTAAAACCAGGATAAAACATAGAATGAGATTTTTTAAAATACCAAAAAATAACAACTAAAAGATAAAATATATAATTAGGTTGAGAAAAATACCTTAAAATCACACTGTGTAACCTTTACAGGACATTGTAGAACCAACCTCAGAATTTTTTGGTTGCTGTAGTTTTTCTAGCCTATTTTATGTTCAGCATTTTACCTTTACTTTCTGAAGCTTTCTCGGTACCACTGTCGAAACCAACAAAAGAAAACTCATCCACAGCAGGGATCAAACCCGGCACCCCAGCATTACAAAGCATGTTCACAATGCCTAAGCCACAGACGCTGACAAAATTACAACTATTATAAGACAAAACATTAGATTACCCCATGAAATCACAACTATAAGATAAGATTATATAATTAGATATATATAAAATACCATGAAATCACAACTATGATAAGATAAAATACATAATTAGATAAAAAATACCACAAATTCTCAAATACAATTTAAAAAAAAAAAAAAATTTTTTAAAATATGAAATCACAACTATAATACACAATTAGCGAGCCAAATTTTTCCTTTTGCCAATCAAATTCATCCATTTGCAAATCAATTTCCCTCATTTTGCAAATAAAATTCAATCTTTTGCAAATCAAATCAAATCAAATCCAACCATTGTCAGTTTTGCAGCTTCTCGAGGCGAAAGGGTTCAATATTTGTAACTAACTGTAGTGTGCTCTAACAGCAAGACAGCAAACACACGGACACACCTTGTTTCCAGAAAAGCCAACAAATTCCAGCAGCTTCATGACCTTGCTGGGCAGCAGGGATATCATCTGTGAAAGGGAACAGAGGGGATTGGAAATTAGCCAGTGCTTTCACTTTTATTCACCCCAGACAGTTCAATATTTTAGGGGGTGGTAGATAGTCCACATGCAGTCGTGGGACCTAAGCTGCATGCAGTCGTGGGACCTAGGCTGCACTCTCTTGTGGGACGTAGGTGGGTTGGGGTTAGGTCCAATTCTAGATGTTTTGGGGTAGAAAGAACCAATTAGCCCCCACTACAGGGAGTTGTGTGTATAATCGGTTTGCTTTGGAGACTATCAAAGTTTGTGGGTTCAAATCCCCACTGAATCGACTGGGTTTTTTCCTTCTTTAACAAAATGGCCTTGGCTTCCAGGTCTATCCAGTATCCAGCCTAAAATGGGTACCAGTCAAAATCATGGGACAATAAGACAGCTGGCTTGATGGTGACCACTTTACCCATTGAGTGCCTATTGGTTTATAGCACAAAGGTCTAGCAACATATACCCAATACACCTAAGGCATGGAAAAGGGTTCTCTACTGTTGGAGATTACTGTGTTTCTTTTCACAGTGGATGATGGGAGACTGAACATCCATGATTATGATTAAAGTGCAACAATACAACATTATTCTTCACTGTTGGAAGTGTGTGTATAATCTGTTTGTTTTGGGGACTATTGTATACCCATTGATACTGGCTGATGGGAGACTAAGCATCTATGAGTATGATTAAAGTGCAACAATACAGCCTTATTCTTCATAAAAAACCCATAAATATAAGAAAATCAACTTTCTTGTGGCGACAGGTGTTTAAAAAAAAAACTCTATTTTTATGGACAATATTACGAGAGTCACACCATGGAAGAGACTGGAGCTTCACTAGGCAATATTCCCAAAGACAGCGATGGGTGCACTGGAGCCAACCTTTATTGTAGAGATGGCACAGCATTTTTATAAGCTTTTATTCAGTTTGCTTTTGTTTGTCTGTTGATTCCACCGGTAATAATTTCATATATTATTAAATCAATCTTAATACTCACCAACAGAAAACAGATGAAAATGCAGAACAAAGATAAGGTGGGACTTTGACCCTGAAGACATTAAGCCACATAGCTAGTGCAAATGCCACAAACTGTGCAGGTCAGGATATTTTTTCTTTCTGGCAAAATTTCCATTGCATTACCTAGGATATTTTCTTCTTCTTTGCATTCTCCAGCTGTATACCCAGGGGGAAAAGGTGGGGGGGGGGGGGGGGGGGGGGGGGGGGAGAGTCCTGGTTGTTTATCCACTTCTAGATTTTAACCTTGTTTCGGAATTTAAGTTTTGCATGCACATCAGTTTTACAGATCTAGCTTAGCTGTGCGCAGACTGCTAGTTCATTTTTCCGGCAGATGCACTCTGACTAGTAAAGAAGCGCCCCCTAATTAGTAGACTTTTACTATATGCTTGTTAGGGAGCAGTGATTCTATTCTCTTTTGCCCCCACAATGGGGCCCCAGAACCCACACAGGGACCTAGGATATGAACCCGGGTCAACTTTCTAACTGCCTGGCCAGCCGTCCTCCCATTTACAATGTACACAGTGTTAAAGATAATGAACACAAATTTCTTTCCTCACTAATAAGTGCAAAAACACATCAGATGATAACATGTCAAGAAAAGCCACCAGAATAACAGGAAGGGATACAATAAAAAATGAAGACCCCCTGTGTGGGTTCTGGGACCCTATTATAGGGAAAACAAGAATAGGCCCACTGAATACACAAAAGCATGTCTAAAGAGTGGACTGATTAGGAGCTTCCTTCGAAGTCTGAGTGCATCTGCTTGAAAGACAAGGAACCCACAGTCTGCACACAAATGTGTCAGATCTCTCAAATGGTTGCACACGCAACACTCAGGTTCTGGAACAGGACTGCAGTCCAGAACTGGACGAACAACCAGAACTTTCCACCAGAGTTTACAGCTGGTGAACGCACAGAAGAAGAAGAAGAAGAAGAAGAAGAAGAAGAAGAAGAAGAAGAAGAAGAAGAAGAAGAAGAAGAAGAAGAAGAAAAATGAAGAAATCAGAAGAAAGCTTGGACTGAAATTAATCATAGCTGATTAACAGATAAGACGGTCTGGAGAAGAATGTCCTCACACCAACTGGCACAGAAAGACACGCTGAAGAAATATAGTGAACACAGAGAGCCATAAGAAGTCCACACACACAGTGGAATGATGACATCAAAAAACAGCATTAAAGAAATGAAGATCAACTTATATAATGCAACAAAAATAAAACACAGAAGATTCTTATATCCCCCTCCCCCCCCCCCCCCCCCCCCCCCCCCCTCTTTTAGTGACATGCTTGAGGATGAGACGAAGAAAAAAAGGAAGAAATTGGAGAACAAATGGATTTAGCATCACAGGCCTAGGGGCTAGTGAATAAAGTCATAAAATCCGCGCATCATGCGTTCATTGGGCTTCTAGAAAGGAACCTATGAACATATGATGCGTTCCTTGGGACTCAAAGACTTAAAAAGCAGAATACAAAAAGAAAAAACTGAAGCATATTATTTATGACACTAACGATACCACAAAAATGCCTTACCAAATTAAAAGCTCCAACGCCCATGCAAACGCCACTTTCAAAATGAACTTTGTGTTTATCTGTGTGTCCATTTCTGTGTTGAAGAATTTTGTGGCATTCCCTGAAGGTAAAAAGCACTTGTGTAACTGATAAAATTAAAAAAAGTAAATAACAAAAAAAAAAAAAAAGAAAAGGAATTTTTAAAAATATGCTGATTTGTTGTATCAAATGGCTGAAAGCAAAAATTACATAATACAAAACAATAACAATAAAGATGCTGATGTGCTGAAAAGATTTTTATTTTTTAGTACAAACAAAAAAAACTAACTCCAAGCAATCTAGAATCTTCTCTTCTTTCCTGTGTAGGTTCCGGAGCCACACTGTCGGTGGGGGAAAAAGAGGAGGCCCCAAACAAGGATTTCATGAACGTCGACTAATTAGAGGTGTTTTTTTCAAAGTCTGCGTGCGTCTGCCAAAGAGGCAAAGAACCATCAGTATGCATACAAATAAGCCAGGTCTGTAAAACAGACTCACTTAACTCAAGTTTTTCAAGTTTTGAAATAAGACTAAAGTTCAGAAGTGGATGAACCACCAGAACTTTCCACTGGAGTTTACAGCTGGTGAATACGAAGAAAAAGAATCTTCTCGACATCTTCCCTTGTCCATTTTTCTCTCCAAATCCAATGAAATCAAGAACAATCACTCACTGTGATGGAGCTAAGAACAGCAGCAAACAATTTAGTATAATGGAATTCAGAACAACAACAAATAAAAACTCAATGTGACGGAACTGACTATTTCAGTCGCAAGAAGTTGTTAATATATGTATTTGTTTCTTTATCTTGGTCGATGACATTCAAAACAAAACAAAAATCATGTAAATTTACATCAAAAATAACAGCAAACTCAGGTTCCACCAAGACCCTAACCCATGACGTTCTGATCTGCAGGCAAGTTCTTGCCGTGACACTACAATAACAAACAACTCAGTATTACGGGGGAGAACAACACACAAAGTCAGTGTGACAGAGTTAATAACAACAACATCAAACAACTCAACATGACATTTAACATTAAGAATGTTGATTTTCGAAATAAATAACAACTGACATTACAGCACTCGGGACATTCCCATAAGCGCTCCACTCAAATCTCCAGCAGCAAGCGCAGAGTTCTAATTCTGATAGCACCAGTAACTGTCTGACTGTATGTCCGTATGTTCTTTTCCTTGAGTGTTGAACTTTGGCCAGGTAACTCCTCACAGCACCATTCTCCTCAGACCGTGATGATCTGTTTATGCCTCTACACTGTTCACTCGCTCTCAAAGGGCCCTTACAACATTTAGCTTGTCATGCATCAAGTGGTACAGAACCAGCCAGACTACTGCTTGTTCATTTCCCAACACACCGGCATGCCCTGAAAAAAATATCCTACTACCCTCTGAAAAACCACATTAACAACAAACAAACAAACAACTCAATACGAAAACAACAAGAAGCAAACTCAATATGACAGAGTTTAAAACAGCAACAACTCACTTGTATGTCTTGTAACATTCTCTGATTTTCAAACCGCCTTTGACAAAACTAATCAAATTCTCATCCTGTATAAATGTGAGGAAAGCCCGTATCAACAGACACTCTGCATAGACTAGTTCTGCATGAATTTCTTCTGCAACAGGAATATTTTTGAAAAAGTAAAATAATTTAGAAAAGAATACTTGCTCTTCATGTACTTATTTATTCTGTACAAGGGACAACCAAATGAAAACAGATTACAATGAATGAAGATTATTATATAAAACAACACTCCTGTGTGTGTTTCGGGACCCCATTGTGGGGAAAAACAAGAACAGACCCACTGCCTTCCCCAACAAGCAGGTCATAAGAGTTTACTAATTGGCAGCTTCCCTTTGAAACAAGAGTGCACCTGCCAGAGAGGAAAGGAACCAATTGTCTGTGTGCAAAAAAGCAGATCTGTAAAACTGATGTGCACCCAACACTCAAATTCTGGAACAAGACCAAAGTCCAGAGATGGATGAACAACCAGAACTTTCCACCGGAGTTGACAGCCGGTGAACGAACGAACGAACGAACGAACTTTATTTTCAAAGGGTTACAAATTAGGCACGCAGGCCTGTCTTACATTCGGCCCTTCCAAACTTCCATCTTTCACACAGCAGTTATATTCATGAAGCATGTTATATTCATGTAATAATATGCATATTATATATATGAAGTCAAAAACAAAAGCATGGCTGGTAAAATATGTACGCACGCTCACGCGCGAACACACACACCCACATACACACACAAGCCCAATGACTCACTTACACACAAACATATAGGCACTAAGTACACACATACATCAACATACATACGAACATGCACACACACATACATACATACATATATACATACATACATACACACACACACCCACCCACCCCCCAAACCCCCCCCCCCCCACCCACCCCCAACCCCCACCCACCCCCCACCCACCTAACCACCCACCCACACACCGACACACAGACACACAGACACACACACACACGTGAATGTGAAGAAGAAGGAGAAGGAGAAGGAGAAGGAGAAGGAGAAGGAGAAGGAGAAGCAGAAGCAGAAGAAGAAGAAGAAGAAGAAGAAGAAGAAGAAGAAGAAGAAGAAGAAGAAGAAGAAGAAGAAGAAGAAGAAGAAGAAGAAGAAGAAGAAGAAGAAGAAGAAGAAGAAGAAGAAGAAGAAGAAGAAGAAGAAGAAGAAGAAGAAGAAGAAGAAGAAGAAGAAGAAGAAGAAGAAGACGAAGAGAAGAAGAAGAAGAAGAAGAAGAAGAACAAGAAGAAGAAGAAGAAGAAGAAGAGAAGAAGAAGAAGAAGAAGAAGAAGAAGAAGAAGAAAGAAGAAGAAGAAGAAGAAGAAGAAGAAGAAGAAGAAGAAGAAGAAGAAGAAGAAGAAGAAGAAGAAGAAGAAGAAGAAGAAGAAGAAGAAGAAGAAGAAGAAGAAGAAGAAGAAGAAGAAGAAGAAGAAGAAGAAGAAGAAGAAGAGAAGAAGAAGAAGAAGAAGAAGAAGAAGAAGAAGAAGAAGAAGAAGAAGAAGAAGAAGAAGAAGAAGAAGAAGAAGAAGAAGAAGAAGAAGAAGAAGAAGAAGAAGAAGAAGAAGAGAAGAAGAAAAGAAGAAGAAGAAGAAGAAGAAGAAGAAGAAGAAGAAGAAGAAGAAGAAGAATAAGAAGAAGAAGAAGAAGAAGAAGAAGAAGAAGAAGAAGAAGAAGAAGAAGAAGAAGAAGAAGAAGAAGAAGAAGAAGAAGAAGAAGAAGAAGAAGAAGAAGAAGAAGAAGAAGAAGAAGAAGAAGAAGAAGAAGCTACAACATATCAAGTCAATACATTTGGTTTGCAGTGAGGCAGTTGGAAACTATATAAAGGAAGATAAAACATAGATGAAGGAGAGGGAGGAGAATATGCAGGAAGGAAGGGGAGACGAAGAATCAGCAGTAGAAGAAGGAGGAAAAATAATAAAGCAGAAGAAAAAAGAGGAGGAGAAAAACAAAAAGAATGGTTAACATAATAATTAGCACCTGTAGCTCTGGGGCTGCCAGTGCACTCTGTAATTCCAAAATACCTGCTAATATTCCAGCTGCAGGCAATCTGCCAGCAGACCGTTTTGCATTTATTTGAATAATGAAATTAAAAGCTGATCATTTAGAAAGCAATGGGAAACAAATGAATGTAAATTTGCCTTAAATTTGCACCAAATGGTGAAGCTGGTTCTATAATCAGGTAATCACGTAGTCACAATTCCAAGGTCACAGTAAATGGGTCACCTTGATAGTTGCTCCATTTCAGTGCCCACAAAACTACACAGAATAGCCATCACCTTGTGGGAAAAAAAAATGACACAGATGGCAGTCTCAGCAAAAGCCAGTAGCATACACATGCATTAAATGCATAAGGCAGATGCCAGAAGAACCGACACAAACAGTCTGACACTAGAAATGCAGTTCATCATCGAAGAAACCAGCAGTTAAAAGAAATCAGTGGTTGCACATGCAATTAATCACATAAAGCCCCCCCCCCCCCCCCCCCCCCCCCCCCAGTTCTTTGGTTCTGCAGCGTCCTGTAAATGATCTACAGTTACCACAACAGACGTACCTTCTGTGTAGTCATCATAATTGACTTTGGAGTTGAACTTTGTGAGGGAGCCAATAACTGAGGTTTTCTTGCGGATTTTACTGCAGAGATTCACAGACTTTTTAATGGCCTCAATGGCAACTTCTATGTCTGCCTGGGGGGAAAATAAGATCAACAAATGGTATCAGGTAATCGCAGTTGTAACTTTACAGCAAGTGGATCACCCCATAGTTGTCTCATTCCTGAGCACATAAAAACCATGCAGAATTTCGCTGTTCAACAAATGCACATGTATTTATTGGCACTTATAGATGCAGAAGGAAATGAAGGTTACAATTTTCAGAGCATGTATCTTTCCTGTTGCAACATATGGATGTAATTCATGGACTATCTTGCAGTCATTAAGGAAGAAAATGTGGTTTTTGAACTGAAAAACTAAAAACATTCACTAACTGGTGTCTATGCAGAATACATGAAATTAAATGGTATGATAGAATCACTAAAGTTGAGCTTTGGGAGAGAACTAAACAAGTTTCAGTGGATCAAGAGGTGAATAAAAAATGCTGGCGGATAGGACACCCGTTAAGAAAACCTGAGAACAATACTACTAGAATTTAAGAATGTTTCTAATTGGGAACCCACAGGGGTATAGAAATAAAGGCAGACCAAAAAAACACATGAAGAAGGGAGATAGACAGTGAAGTTAAAAAGATCGGGAGGACATGGGGAGAGCTGCACGCAATAGCGAAGGAGAGAATCATTTGGTGTGAGTTGATTGAGGGTTTATGCTCCACTGAGGGATAGAAGGAAGAAGAAGAAGCAAATTAATGATAATAACAGTTAACTTCGCCAACAACCACTAAGTCTTTGTACAATTGCTTGAATTTTTCTAATTATATCTACTTTTCAAAACAATAATAATACTAAGTATAGAATGCATAATAAGTCTAAGTGAAATACACAGTCAAGTTGAGTCAAGAACTGACATCACAGCACTCTGGGCATTCCCATGCATGCTCTGTCCTCATCTTCAGCAACCAGCGCAGAGTTTCAATACTGATGGTACTGGTCAAATCTTGATATATGTCCGCCTTGCCTTTCCTCTGAGTGTAGTGAGCTGGCCAGACCCTCTGGTTACACTGAGGTGCGGCATTCTCTATAGACCATAATAATCTTCTTTCTTTACTGATTCCGTTGTTTGTTCACAAAGGGTCTTGATCATATCTGCCTTGTCATGTATCAGCCAATCTGTCTGCCTGTTCATTACCCACCACGCCGGAGAGAAGATCCAAAGTATGCTCACTACCCGTGACCTTCCCAATGTAGCTTGCCTCTCTGCAGAAACAATACACAGTATTGTTAAATGAAAAAAAAACGGGGAAAAAAAAGGGGGGAGGGGAATCATAAAACAGTTGAGAGAAGAAAAGAAACAGCACACAGAAGATCCTTATTGCCCAAAGCTGCTCCAAAGCCTTGATGATGTCACTGGAGGAAGAAAGAAAGAAGTAAAATGATTAGGGGATTCTCTATCTCTTTCTGCAATACTAGTGGGATGCCTCATGGTGTCAAGGCAGGAAGAGATCTCTGGAATGGGACCGTCTTTTCGCTTCCTATAGAGTACTTTTCAGTGTCTTTGATACTTCTGAAGTCAAACTTGTGCATGGTTGACCTCTGGGTCTGTTATTGTTGTATCTATATATCATTGCTCTCTGTGATGCCCTGTCTGTTGTCAATCTTGTTCCTGTCTGTTAGTTATCAATCTTGTTCCTGTCTGTTTTCAATCTTGTTACGTAGTCAAACCATTTAATCTGTAGTCTACCAATAAAGTTCAGTATTATGAGATTCTTACGTAAGATAACACTTATACAACCTATCACTCGAGGTCTTGGTCAATCTTCTTCTTGTTCTTCTTCTTTTTCTTGTGCCTGGTCGCTGTGACCATGACTCTCCCCTCTTCTCTGTCGTCTGATGAACTTGTTGCTTATTATTTGATTTCCTGCTCACTTGTTTCAGTTTTTAGGGGTTGGGGGAGATTTTTTCTTTGTCTTAACGTTCACTGGCTGTAAGCTCCAGGGAAAGTTTTGGATGTTTGTCTACTTCTGGTTTTTGATCTTCTTCCAAAACTCGAGTTTTGTACGCGCATCAGTTTTACAGACCTGGCATATTTATGTGCAGACAGCTAGTTCTGCCTCCCAGGCAGATGCACTATGACTTCGAATGAAACACAGGTAATTAGTCAGCATGCCAGTTTGGAGTCAGAAAAAGGATACTGGTCTCTCCCCACCCCCCCACCCCGCAAAAAAATGTGGGCCCCAAAAAACCCACATGGGGAGACAGAGATACAAGACTGATATATTTTAGTTTATATATATATATATTTATATACCTATTGTGGTGTAAAGTCAATCAATTCTAACACAGATGAGATAGGGAGGGTGGGGGTGAGGGGAGGCTTTTCTGAAAAATGGAAACTGCAGTAGCTTTACTTTACTTTTTCTAGGTCAGCGAGGTGAAAGGGCCGAGTCTAATGGACAGGCTGATGTCAATGCATATGAAACATAAGCCAGCCTTGTGTGGGCAGCTATAGAAGATCAATCTTACCATGTCAAAGGTCATAACCGCTTGGATGTACAAAATGGTCCCGTATCCCAAGGCATGGTACATGCTGACGTCTGCCCTGGAATTAGAAATTTGGTCAAAATGAAAGCATTAACAAAGCAATTTTATCAGCAGACAAAACACAATTAAAAATCACCCAGTAGATCTTTGCACATCATCATCATCATAAAATGTCACCCCAGACAAGAAGCAGAACTAGACAGCTTTACAGTATTGCAATCATGAAAAATATGATGAGCCTTGCAGCTAAAAAGCATTCATCAGTACTGAGTTACGCTTCATGATGTAACCTCTCACGCCACACTACCCCCCCCCCCTCCCCCACAAGTAGTAACCCATAAGTGCTCCGTTCTTCTTCTAACTCAAGTATGAGGCCGACAAAGCTCAGCACAGTGCACAGGCTCTGTAGCACCGGCGAGGATCCTAAAATAGTTTGGGTAGATTTTTAACTCTAAATCTTGCCCGGCAGCACCATTAGGCTACTCTTTTCGATTTCCAAATGCCAAGAGATTTTTTTAACGTGCGCAACAATGCACACGGGTGACCGATCTCACTACTCAGAGACCAGGGGGAATTACTAGAAGTCCAAGTCCACATAAAGAAATTCAAGCCCTCATCGGGGATTGAACCTGGAGCCTCTAGTAATCGAGGCGGACACCATGCCTCAAGACCACGCAGACCCCCCTGAGTTACTTCCTGTCCGGCAGCTTACTGCTGAAATGAAACATGGAAGCAATGTAGAGCCTCTGCTGTTAAAGCACGGATGAAGATTCTGTGACAGGTTTCATAGTAAAGCTCCAAGATTTTATGTATTACTGTTTGTAATGTGGAAGGGGGAGGAGGATGTCGCTGCGATGCTAGACACTTGCCTGCGGTTTGGAAGGTCGTGGGTTCGGGTCCTGATGGAGCCAGACTTTCTAAAAAAAAATGACATTGGCCCCAAGAACGACCAAGCCTTGAGTGGGTACCAGGTGCAGTCCTGGGAAGTAAAGGAGGGTCTATGCGGTGCAACCTACATCAACCACCAAAGTGCTGACTGGTCTATAAAATATAGGTCTAGCCCTGTATACCCATTACACCTAAAGGCGTGGAAAAGGGTCCTTGACTTTACTATTGTCTGCAACTGTATCACTGTCTGTTTATGTCGCAAGCTTGTGAAGGCTTAGCCCAGGGATTTTCTAGCTAAAATGTTCATTGTGTCAGTGACGACTGGAATCAACAAGACCAATGACCACCACAGTAACACCAACATTAACACCAACAATCACAACATTAACACCAACAATCACAACATTAACACCAACAATCACAACATTAACACCAACAATCACAACATTAACACCAACAATCACAACATTAACACCAACAATCACAACATTAACACCAACAATCACAACATTAACACCAACAATCACAACATTAACACCAACAATCACAACATTAACACCAACAATCACAACATTAACACCAACAATCACAACATTAACACCAACAATCACAACATTAACACCACCAACACACCAACTACAACAACATTAGTAATATTAAAACACCACGCACACACACAAAACATGAATAACCACACCAACATTAAAATATTAAAAACACCAATAACCACCACGAAATCAACAACAATGACAAAGAACACTAACAATAACAACAAATACCAACAACCACACTAAATAATATTGAAACATCACCACACACGACAACAATAACCACTTACCATTCCCAACACAAACAACATAACACCAAAAAATAACAACACTAACAATATTAATAAAACTGATAACCACAACAATATTAAAACAACAACAACACTAACTATATTAAAACACTAATAGCCACCACATCAAGATCAACCACCATGCAAAAAACAATAACAGCATAAACAAACAACAACAACTCTAGCAGAAACAACAACCAATAGAACAACATCAACACTAACCAAGGTTGCATTCTGTCCTTAGCCTGTGTGAACTTATTGTTAAAGAACAGGCTGAGCGCTTGATCGGCTTCTCTGATGCATATATCCAGATGAACCCGTTCTTTGTTTGACAAGTTTCTGCAGAGGAACAACAAATGCAACAAGCATAAACATTATAGCTTGATTCAGTGGGTCCAGACAGGCTCCATACGCAAGCAAGTGGGCCAAGTCACTGCAAAGGTTCACAGTGCATGAACCTTCATCTTCATCCCTGGGCCTGTGGGTTTGCTGGCAATGAAAGAGCTGATAAATTTAGCTGGCTCTGCCCACAGCTGCAGATGGCCAGCCTAAGATTGTGTCAACATTGTTAACCCCATTAGAGAAAAAGGATGATCAAAATGAATGATGGGAGCATCACATCCACATAACTATTGAGAATATAAGAAATGGAGGCAAAGGCATGAGAGGCACACCGGACGTCAACCAGCACAGGATTGTAATCAAGTACTTATAAAACAGATCCATAGTTCCCCGTGGGGCCCTACTCTAGGGAAAACAAGAATAGACCCACTGCCTACCCAAAAGCCTGTTGTAAGAGTCGACTAATTGGGAGCTTCCTTCGAAGTCGGAGTGCATCTGCCTGAGAGACAAGGAACCAACAGTCTGCACACAAATGCGACAGATCTCTCAAACAGATGCACACACATCACTCAGGTTCTGGAACAGGACTGCAGTCCAGAAGTGGACGAACAACCAGAACTTTCCACCAGAGTTTACAGCTGGTGAACGCAAAGAAGAAGAAGAAGAGATCCAGAGTACAGAAGGCAAATGCTGTCACCTTCAGGCTTGCACAACTGCTTGGACACCCAAATATCTCCCTTCTAGCAAAACAGCAGATGCTTAATAGCATCTTCATCCTTTCTTTATGCTATCAGCAACAAAAATTAAAAATCAGTGCAGAAAATAACTACCTGTGAAATACGCTGTCTCCATAAGGTCATTAACAATAAGGGATAAGGTTTGGAATACCAGCAATAAAGAGAAAATTGGAACAAGACCCTGTCTGAATTATACTGAAAAAGAAGGAAATGGTTTGGCCATCTAGTGAGAATGAAGGCAAACCAAGCTGCATCTGACACATTTTAACAGCAGAACTCAGGGAGGAAGGTGAGGGGAAGACCAAGAAAGAAATCCATTACCCAAACCATCCGAGAAGCATGAGACACACCCAAAAAAAAAAACCCACAAAACCAGGCACTGGGTTACAACCTAGTATCAGTGAGACAACAAAAGAAGAAAAAGATAAAATAAACAGATGGTTGTCAAAGAACTAGACAGACAGTCCGCACACCCAGCACTGCAGATGATGATGATGATGACAAACTAACAGACACAAGAGATCTTCTTTTCTTCTGCTCTTTATTCCTCCACTAGAACGTAAGAAATTAACCAACATACACCAAGCCATTCCATCACTTCTCAACTTGAGCAGCTCATCCCAAGTTCTACCAATCTGTGAAAGACGGACTGCCACAGTTTGAAAGAAGCCAAACACAGCAAGCTATAGACAGGAGACAATAAAGGAGACTGCTAAGCTTTTAATTTATTTTTGCTTCCAAAAGTGCTTTGCTAATGCAGTTTCCACATATGGATGGTAGTTTATGATTTCACTGCCTGAGCTACTGAGTTTGGTGCTTGGTGCAGCCCTGTGAGCTGTTTTTTTTGCATGTGGAACGCCTTTCATTTGTGCAGCGGTTGTATTCAATATGGCCGGTAGCCGGTTTATGTGTGGGTTAGTGAAATACCTTATGTATTGATTCTACGTGCGTATAGCCAACTTATCGTGCCCGACTACTTCCATCAACGACACACTGCAGTTCTGGTGGCAACTGTTGGCTCTGACATGTCTAGCAACTGCTATATGAATTTACTGCGTACACATATTTCTGGATTGTGCTGGGACTAATTATTCACTACTTTTTCAAAAGGGACATTGGGAGACATTTCATTTGATATTTACTGGCACAGGAACCGAGCAAGTACGGGGTGACCCAATTGCAGTGAAGTTGAACCTCGACTAAGACTACGATTGGACTACAGTCACAGCAGACACTGTTCCCAAAACCAGCGGCACAATGCCATGGTGCCCTAGGACTGACGGCTGCCTACTACCAATCCCCCCTCCCTCATTCTCTAACTCTCTCTTTTCTAGTCACACTGTATCCTTTAAGGGGCCACGTTAGCGCAGTCGATAAGAAGCTCGTTTTCAAATCCAGCTGCGACTCACTGAGTCCATGGCCGGTGTTCGAAACCGGGCGGCTCATGGGGTTCACCCAGCCTCTAGGAAATGGGTACCAAAGTGATACTCTGGGGTAAATGCAGGGACGTTGCTGTAGCTACAGACTTACGTGCGAACAGTGACACAGGCAGACAATTCTTATCATCTGTCCGTACTGGTGGCAGAGCACTTATGGTTTATAACTGTGTGCAATGACGCTGGTTCACATCTCCCGACTTTACCTTTACCTTTTTTACACTGTATCCTACTACCAATCTTCCCTCCCTCATTCTCGAATTCCCTGCTCTACAGTATCCTACCAGACAACTAAGGATAATTTTCGTTTTAGCCACCTCAACCTGTAAACAGATTTCTTTGGTCGCATGATGAGAAAAGGAGCACTGGAAAATATTGTGATGACTGGAAAGATCATTAGTAGAAAAGGCAGAGGCAGATCATAAGAAATTATTGTGGATAGCTCAAGACACTAGCATGGAGGAATATCATCAGTAGAATTGATCCAGAACTCTAAAGAACAAGATCTGTGGAGATACATGAACGCCAGCTGGCAAGGCACTTGATGATGATGATCCTCACCACAGCCACACAAAAACCACACCTTAGAGAAGACATGCATTAATGATGGTATGGCACCAAACATTCTAAATGCCGAGAGACAGATCAGTGAGGTTATCAATGTGAATGACCCTGTAGTTGTCTTCTTTTCTGCCCTATATTCATTACCTGGCCTATTAAACTCTGTGCAGGTGCACACAGAACCAGTAGAATTTAACTAAGCTGCAGACAGGCAGATATATCCGCATTTATCGATATATCCACATTTATCGTACTGAGTCACAACGGGAAGTCACTAGATTCAGTATTCTAATCGCAAAACAAATCACCAGTTTATCTGCCTTTAATGGCAGTATGTAGCTCACCCTTATCTGTTTCAATTACCTCCTTCTCTCTCTTCACTACCCAAGCATGTCCCAAGAGGCAATTAAGGTAGGGCTGGGCTGGGCTACCTCATTCAGTCAAACACTACAGCCAAAACAATACAACGAGACCCTGGAAAGAGACCTGCACTGGTGAGGAGATAATGTCAATACAACCCCTAGAAATGTTACATACATTAGAAAAGCCCAGAGATAAATTAGTAAGGCCAACAAAGGTTATCATAGTTTGTTATCATAGTTTGTTATCACAGTTTTTTATCATATTTTGTTATCATAGTTTGTTATCACAGTTTGTTATCATAGTTTGTTATCATAGTTTGTTATCATAGTTTATTTCAACCTCATATGAGACAGCTGCTAAAAAAGCTGCTGACAGTGAAAACGGCTGAATCGTCTATAAAAACAATACCCCTTTCCCACCCCCTCCCCCCAAACAACCAACAAGAATGTGCTAGAAGGCGAGTAATTAGGAGTCTAATGAAAACTTATGTGTTAGTTCAAAGCAATGTTCCCCCATTGTAAATTTGAACAAAGAAGACACAAACAATAGATTGCACAATTAATTGCCGGGCATATATCGCTGTATCTCGTCAACCAATGGCAGAACGCTAGATTTCTCAAAGCTTCCGCGATTCATCACCTGCGCCCGGAACTCTGTATTCAGAAAGAAAAGGTTCTGTCTTCATGGCTGCCCTAGCACACAAAAAGGCAGTCATGTTTGATCGTTGTTGAAATTGTACTTTAGTTACAAAGGATTCACTTATTTGCTTCTTTAAGTAATTATTACTGTAGTATGTGACACCATAACATACAAAGCATACATGGGAAGAGAAGAAGGACGTAGAGCACGGGGTAGACCAAGAACAAGATGGAAGGATAACATCAGAGAAACTCTACAACAGCACGATGTGCCTATGGTCGAGGCAGCCAGAAGAGCTAGAAACAGAACCTTATATCTCCCTCGACACCCACAGCGGTAAAAGAGGAAGTGAAGAAGAAGAAGAAGAAGAAGAATTACTGTAGTATGCACCTGATGAGAAACAGCGAAATATGCCAGGCAATAAATTATGCAATCTACTGTTTGTGTCTTCTTTGTTCTAATGTGTTAGTGTGAAAGATACACATATCACAGCCTAGCTGTAAACCACAACACAATGTCCCAACCACCTTTATTTAAGGGCGAATGCGAAAGAAGCCATCCACACACCCACACAACTCAATATACCTGAAGCAGTTGAAAGGGCCGGTTATCATCACTTGTGACGGACAAGAACAGAACAGAAATATAACATCGGCAAAACAAAACACAACAACAACAAAAACACAGAGAAAACTGACCCTGATAGTGACAGGCTATCCACAGCATCTTCAAATTCCTGATAAGATCAAGAAGTGCATATTATGAAATGATGCCAGTATATCTGATAAGTGCTTGGCTTGGTGACTATCTAGTGCCAGTATCAGTCTAGTCTATATATAATTAACAAAGAGGCAATTTAATGATCGGCACTCATAGAAAAAAGTAGAAAGGCAGAAGGACACACCAGACAACATAACAATCGAAAGCTAAGGTTACCGTGCCGTCTAGGCGTCTTGTCAGGTTCTGATGTCTGTCGGATCCTGATGTCTGTCTGGTCCTGATGTCTGTCTGGTCTTAATGTCTGTCTGGTTTTGATGTCTGTCTGGTCCTGGTGTCTGTCTGGTCCTAATGTCTGTCTGGTCCTGATGTCTGTCTGGTCCTGGTGTGTGTCTGGTTCTGGTGTGTGTCTGGTCCTGATGTCTGTCTGGTCCTGGTGTGTGTCTGGTCCTGATGTCTGTCTGGTCCTGATGTCTGTCTGGTCCTGATGTCTGTCTATTCCAGATGTATATCTAGTCCTGATGTCTGCTGGTCTTGGCGTCTGTCAGGTCCTGATGTTTGCAGGTCCTGATGCCTGTCTGGTCCTGATGTGTGCCTGGTCCTGGTGTCTGCCTGTTCCTGGTGTCTGCCTGTTCCTGATGTCTGTCTAGTCAACAGGAAGGTTTTCCTTCTTAAACTTTTAAACTTTTGAATGCACCACATGTATTAACTATCTTAAATGTGTATCACACAACATTTGGTGTGTTTATTTAGTTTTTACGTTTGGTCTGAACATTCTGACAAAATATGGCTATATGTTCTAACAAGCAGCGCAACATATCCCTCTCCCTACTACGCATAAGAAAAACCAAATGAAAAGACCGCGAAATGGTGAGAAGAATAGGTAAAAAGGGATGTGGAAAAGGGGGGGGGGGGGGGGGGGAGAAAATAAGGGAAGATGAAGTAAGTAGGGTGAGAAAGAGGAAGAAGAAAGAGGAAGCTGAAGTAGAAGAAGTAAGATGAGAGAAGAAGAAGGGAGAAGAAGAAGAACGAACGAACGAACAAACTTTATTTTCAAAGGGTTACAAATTGGGCACGCAGGCCCGTCTGACATTCGGCCCTTCTAAGCACTCGTTTTCCGGAGTACCAATGCCTGTTATTTAAAATGCATGTTATAGATATAGAATAAAAATATACATTATAGAATATAATACATACATCATGTGTACACAATCTTACACACTCACAGACATATATATATATATGCTCTCACATTCTCATACTTGCACACTCATATACAGACGTACCTAAATATATACATCTACATATATACACAAACAGAAAAGACACACACATACATATATAGACATATATGCACACACACATTCCATACATACACACCTACACATGCATACACACACATACAATCACATGTACAGACACCCACAACCACACATTCACACTCACATGTAAACATACATATACACATATACATACACACACCTACATCTTTACACACATACATGCATACATACCTACACCCACATACTTATACATCTACAAATGCATACACACATCCACAAACATGAATACATACACACACCCACATACATGCCGACACACATTACATACATACCCACACATGCATGCATAGACACATATACAACCACCCATACAGATACTCACATACATACCTTCACTCATGTATACATACATTCATACTTGCCTACATTATGTACACACATACACTCATATACAGTCACACATACTTACAACACCTATACATAAATACACACACAAACAAACTTAAATATACATTCATATATCCACATGCATGCATACACACACACCCACAATCACACACACCCATATAATGCATACATATATACACACACATAGATACTTTTATACATACATACACATACATAATACATTCCCACATACTTACATACATGCATACATTCATAAATACATACACATCCACAGCTACATATACCGACAAACATGCATATACATGTATGAATACACATACACCCATAGACTTACAAAGATACATTTACATAGAAACATTCTCATAATACAGAGACATACATAATACATGCACCTACATACATATATGCACACATACATACATACATGGACTACATGTACATGCATACACACATCCATACATACACTCAAATACTTTAACATTCTTTCAAACATACACACATCCATACATACACTCACATACTTACACACATACATACTTTCATACTTACCTAAATACACACACACATGCATGCATACATACACACACATACATGCATACATACACCGACATCTTTACATACATACATACATAAACAGACACACATGCATGCATACTTACATATACAATCGCCCATACAGATACCCACATACATACATCACATGCATCGCACATACTATAGAAGAAGAAGAAGAAGAAGAAGAAGAAGAAGAAGAAGAAGAAGAAGAAGAAGAAGAAGAAGAAGAAGAAGAAGAAGAAGAAGAAGAAGAAGAAGAAGAAGAACAACAACAACAACAACAACAACAACAACAAAAGGAGGTACCTGCAAAGAAAGAGACTCATAAGCAGTAGTAACAGTCACAACAACAGCTACAGAATAAGCCAAAGGGGTAAGTAAAAAAGTAAAGATCCCTTTTCACGCCTTTCGGCGCATCGGGCATATGGGCAGAGCGTCCCATATTTTTACAGACTGTTAAATTAGTATCAATGTGATATTTCACCACGGTCCCATTCTGTCATTTTTTTATTGGGTCAGTCCCAATTTTTTAGGGGTCTCCCGGCTGTCCGGGCGGTACTCACTAAAAATGGCAATTGTCTCATTTGATAAAAATATAGGAGTGAGCTCGAGAATATAACAAACACTTACAGTTACATCTGTAGAACTGACTAGATTTAACAGTTCAGATACTTTTAATGTTTGACAAACGCTGGTCTAGATTACTAGTTTAACTCTCTGAGTCCCAGTGGGTTTAGCACCACAGTCCTAAGGGGTAATAAAGAGAGACATAAAATCATGTGTTGATTGGACTGCTAGGTAGGAACCTATTACCATATGATGTGTTTCTTGGGATTCAAAAGAGTTTACTTCTTATTTCTTTCACAATAGAAATGAGCAACCAACAGTGAACATCACTGTAAATAGAGAGATATCAGAAAAGGTAACAAGTTTATCCTATAATGGACACGTACTACAGATGATTGTAGAAGTGAAACATAAATTAAATATAAAATAGGAATGGCTTAAACTATCTTCAATAAGATGCTAAAATTATTAACAGCTAGAGAGAGAAAAAAAAACCCAATAAAGATGATAATCGCCAAGTGTTATGTACACTCAACCCTTCTGTATGGAGCAGAAACCTGGACAATGAACAGACAACTAAAAAATCAAACTCTCTGGAAATTTGGATTTATGGAAGAAAAGTAAGTTTTTCCTGGAAAAAAAAAAAATAAAATACAGAGTTTCTGGAAAGACTGCAAAAAAAAAAAAATTATTGAAAGAAACAAAAAAAATGGACAACTGAAAAAAATGTGGCCACATTAAAAGACATGTTTTTAAAAACCGTACTGGAGGGAAAGGTCGAAGGCAAGAGGTAGACAGCCATACATGGGGGTCTGTGTGGCAAAGTGGTCAAGCCGTTTGCGCCGCGCTCTGAAGGTCATAGGTTTGATTCACAGCTGCGTTGTTCAGTTCACGAGTTAAATTTGTACGGAGATCCCTGGGGATCGTTGCCGAAGCTACGGAGTTTGTGCTTTGTGCTATGCTCTCAGGAGACCGAGCCATATAGGATAAAACCCAGGGCAATGAAGTCGAACCTCTCGACTTAAACCTTTAACCTTTAGCCATACAAGTGGAAGGACAACATCAAAAGAGGGACAAACAGCAGTCTGAGAGAGTGTACAATCAAGACTTGCCAAGAGATAGAGCGTGTTGGAGATCCACTGTAGTCTGCCTTGATTGTGGAGATGGCTCCCGACTGACGGATGATTCTTACATCTCACAGTGACAGAGTGTCTGCACCGACAGAACTCCCTAGGGCTAAATTACTTAACTCTTTGAGTCCCAGAGGGTTTAGCATCAGAGGCCCAAGTGATGTTTAAGAGAAATGTAAAATCAGCATATCTTGCGTTCATTGGGCTTCTGGGAAGGATTCTATAAACGTATTCCTTTGGGACTGAAAGAGTTATGCTTTTAAGCTAAACACATATTGGAGAAGAAGGTGGGGGGGGGGGGGTAGTTAAGTTAAGACATCACAGCACGTTGGGCATTCCCAGACTCGCTGCATCCCAATCTTCAGCAGCCAGCGCAGAGTTCTACTACTAATGGTACCGTCACTGAGGGTAGTGAGCCGGCCAGACCTTCTGGTTACACCCAGGTGCATCATTCTCTCCAGGCTGTAATTTATAATCTAGTTTCTCTTCTGACTTCGTTACTACTTGGTACGTTAGGTGCAGAAGGAAGGGTCTATTACAGCAGCATTGAAAAACTGATTTCCCATAAAGGGTGCCGGTACCATTGCCTACGGCCAGCGGAAAAGCCCTCCTCTTATTAGACAATGGCTAACAATGTTGTCAGAACATCTCAGTTCGCACAATTGAACTACAATAATAATATATACGTTTTGTCAAATCAAAAACAAATACACATGCATTCTTTTCTAAAACAGTTGTTGCTGATACCTAGACACACAATCATTGCAACAGATGCCACTAAAAGACTTAACGACAGACGATACAGCTGCACAACACAACCAACTTCATTCTCCAGGTCCCGCCCTGTATCCTCTCTCTCCTCGGTAGCCATTTTGGTTGCTATCAAGCGGAGATAACCGTGCCTGGTACTCATTATGTTTGACATGTTTTTTTGTTTAGGCTTCCTTAGAATTTAGCATGAATTTAGAAACAAGAGTCTTGTTGTAAACAGAAGAAACACATAAGTAGGATTAATTATAAAGAAAATAGATCCTGTACAATGCGACATACAAGTAAATAAGACAATTCTTAAGAAAGCTGATACATTTAAATATCATGGTACACGACGGATTGGGAAAAATTATAGCAGAAGGCATGGTGCCGGGAAGGATAGGCAGGGCCCGACCTACACGAAGATGAGCACAGGATTTAAGTGACTCCTTGAGTGTGAAAGTGCATGAAGCGTGAGAACTGGCGAGAGACCGAATTTCTTTCAGGCAGACTGTCATGAGAGCGACGTTCTGCAAAAGACCTGCTACATGATGATGATGATGGCACACTTATAACAGCAGATGGAAGTTAGTTAGTTAGTTAGTTAGTTAGTTAGTTAGTTAGTTAGTTAGTTAGTTAGTTAGTTAGTTAGTTAGTTAGTTGGGATATGATCTTTGCACTCCGGACATGCCCATAGGTGCTCAAATCCTTCTCCTCGATATGAACCACAGCGCCCTGTAACTAATAGTGTCAGTTCTTTGTTGATTGATAATTCTTTTTGTATGCCTGGTATGTCTCTCGCTTTTGGCTATGCCAATCTTAACTCCCGAGTCTTTCATTCTGGTGAGCCATGTGGAATCGCTGTCTCGAAAGTCCTCCATCCTTCCCACGTATCTGAGGGCATTAATAATATCAGCATGATCCATGGGTTGAACTTTAGTAGTGAAGATCCAGCTAACTTATCCGTCCTTTCGTTTCTATCGACGCCAGCATGCCCCGGAACGAAGATAAAGACAGCAGATGGAAGATGTATAGGCCTACTATTAAATCAGTTAAATATATACTAGGTCAAGCAAGGAACACAGTTATTCAATATTAACTGTAACTTAATTCTACTAATGCTTCTTCTCTCTCTTCTTCCTTCCCTGATTCTCTTTTTTTTTCTCATTTTCTCTTTCTCCTCCCCTGTATTCTTTTTCTTGGTCATTTTCAAAATCTATTCAAGTTTCCCAGCCCATCTACACCATTTCTCAGTCTGATCTAGGTCGCAGGGTGTCATGTTGCACCGCTTTCTTCGAAAACATTATCTCGTGTGACCTAGGCTGAGGCTGTGGGCAAAAGGGGGGGGGGGAGTTAGAGTTAGTGCCAGTTCTTCTTGTTCTGCGGGACGTTGAAAGCTGTGTCGTCTTGCAGTATATATAACACACAGGCACACATAGGCGCTAATGTAATTGGAGGCAAGACAATATGACAGCCCTCCGTTGTAGAAGAGTCTGAGAAAGTATGAATGAAAGGTCAGGTAGTGTGTAAATGGGCCGGAAAACGTGAACATGGCCTCTTTTCATATTCTCCTCTTAACCGTAGGGGAGCTGCGTGGTCTCAAGGCATGGTGTCCGCTTCGAATGCTAGAGGTTCTGGGTTCAGTTCCTAGTAAGGGCTGGGATCTTTTCACGTAGACTTGGACTTCTAGTAATTCCCCCTATCTCTGGGTAGTGAGATCAGACGCCCGTGTGCATTGTTGCACACGTAAAAAATCCACTGGTAGTCGGAAAATGAAAAGAGAAGCCTAACGGCGCTGCCCGGGCAAAATTAAGAGTTAAATATCTACCCAAAGTATTTCAGGAACCTAGCCGGTGCTACTGAGCCTGTGAACTGTGCTGAGCTTCTTAGGGCTCAGACTTAAGTTACAAGAAGAACGGAGCACTTACGGGTTACCATCTGTGTGCCATGATGTTGATCCGTTGTTCAAACTTCATATTCTTGTTGCCTCTCAACTACTCCTCCTCACAAGACAATAGTAACAGACAATGTTTTGCGGCCCACAACATAGCAAACTCTAAATCTGGATGATAGACCAACAAGGCAAATCACATATACCTTGTTCAGCCTTGTGTAACGTCCGGTGCAGGCATGGTCTATTGCATGATTTCAAACACGCTGCAGTAACAGCTGCATCAACCATTCAGGTTAGTGTGTAGTTCCGGTTCACTGACAGTCGCATACCGTGTGTAAATTCAGAATATCAGCACGCTGCGACTATTAAAACACTCTCTGAATGTGTTTAATGGTATTTTACTGTTTCCTCGCGATCAGATCGAAGGTATTTAGTGGAAATTAGACCTAGAAAACCAAAATGAACGCTAGCTAATTTAAAAATCAGATAGGTAATGTAGCAATCGATTGCGCGACGATACTGCTGCACTCTTTGTTCTTACTGCAGACAGCGTTAGCTAATAGAACTGAAGCAGGAAGTCACAACACATTCTGTCAGGATCTACTTTTGGTGAATGAACACCTGTAAGTGTATCTAGAGTGCAATCAAAGTCGTATTAAGCATATAAGTTGCCTCAACGGTTTCCATTTGATTAATTAGAAAAATATGCCGCGTCATGGTTCGATGGTTTTGTTTATGCAAGACAGCATTCATTCAGCGATCGGGCTTTCTAATAAGTGCTTCAGTCTCTTTTATATCATATAAAGCATTTGCTCTGCCTTTTTGTCTGTCTAGCTCTGAACGTACATGCAACTGACCGTTCTAACAGTACTTATATACTGACTTAGAATTATATAAATACACACACACACACACACACACACACAATCGTGAAAGATAAATAAAAGAAAAGATAGAAGATAGTAAAAAAAAAAAAACCCCACAATATATATGTCGGCTTTACAAAACCACCTACAATAAACAAACATATGACGTTGCGGCAATTAGCCTTCATCAGTAGAGCAAAGACAATAAACAAAGTTCAACACACACACACACACACACACACACACACACACACACACACACAAATGAACTGACTGAAATGACTATACTACTGTATTTAAATACTACATAAACAAATAAAACGAAATAATAATAATAATCACGACAGAACTGTATAAAGTAAGCAATACTTACCTAGACTGCTCTTCTTCTTCTTTCGTTCGCCACCTGGACTGCTCTGAATTGTAAGCAGCTTATGGTCGTTTTACTAGCTCCCTGTCTGTCTGTCTGTCTGTCTGTCTGTCTGTCTGTCTGTCTGTCTGTCTGTCTGTCTGTCTGTCTGTCTGTCTGTCTGTCTGTCTGTCTGTCTGTCTGTCTGTCTGTCTGTCTGTCTGTCTGTCTGTCTGTCTGTCTGTCTGTCTGTCTGTCTGTCTCTCTGTCTGTCTCTCTGTCTGTCTGTCTCTCTGTCTGTCTCTCTGTCTGTCTGTCTGATTGTACACACAAACGTCCACTAATTAGATATCCTACTCCCTATGTGGGTTCAGGAGCCACGGGTTTTTGGAGGGATGGGGGGTGGGGGGGGGGGGAGAACAGACCCATTGCTTCTAACAAGCATGTCTTAAAAGGCGATTAATCGAAGATTTTAGTGAAACTGAATGTGTTGGGCTGAAAGGCGCCGATATCACGAATATATCACGAAGTAACGTAACAACCACAGAAGAAGAAAGCAACGAAAAAGAAGACGAAGAAGAAGAAGAAGATGCCAAACGACCCATTTATCAAACAGTTTTGTTGTTGTCTGCTTGATTATAATTGTATCACTTGTCCTTAGCTTTCAAACTATCGCTTCGCGCTTACACACACCTACTGTCTACAACTGGCAGCCACGCACCACCCTATGTACCCACCGACTTGCCTAACTACCTACTTTGCCACAATCGGTTAACACCTGTGAAATGAGATGACCCACGACAGTCGCCATCTTAACCTTTCGAGGCTTAATGATAAATTAATTGTACCATCAGATCCTGACTTACTTTACAGTAGGTCACGAGATCATGACCTACTTTAGAGTAGGTCATAGTCAAATAGACTGTGGAATTCCCGCATTGAGAAGCAGTCGATCTAATGATTTCGTCTTCTTGCTAAAGTGAGACCATAATAGCTACCAACACATGGTTTGGTCTAAAATACATCTCTTTTGAGAGATAGAGAAGATGGATCCAAGGAGAAGATGCGTTGTGGACTTTAAAGACATTATAAATCCATGGAAAAATAATGGCCAGTTACATTGCTGTCTTAACGCATCCGCCCGTTAGGCCCCATACTAATCTGCGTATGTCAAGTAAATTGCCTGTAGGGGCCCCAACACTTGTTTTCCCGCCCAAGACGTCTCTAGTCAAAGCCACCCATTGAGACGTGGACAACAAAATAATCCTTCCCATAGTGCCTTAGTGGCATAACTGGAGGTGTTAACAATTGTGGGTTTTAGGTCCCCTTTCCACGCCTTTAGTCGGATTGGGAATATAGGGCTAGACCTATATTTTTATAGACCAATCTGCACTTGGTGGGTTGTGTGGTCAGCATCACCCTGGGCGCCTTTACTTCCCAGGACTATACCGGCACCCACTCAAGGCTGGATCGACCTGGGAGTCAAGGTCATTTTTGGGGAAAAAATTTAGCTTCGGTAGGACGCGAACCCACGACCTTCTAATCCGCAGGCGGGCGTCTTGCCACCACCAACACCACGGCGACTCCCAAATGTAAACTGTGAATGCCTTATATTTAACTTATACTTTCGCCTCTTTCTCTCACCAGGCCACACAAAGCGATGAGATACAAGGATGACTACATACAGGACATTGCGCTCCATCTACCACAGACATATCAGAGGGACACTCCTTATCGCAGTGGCAATACTGACTATATTCCTAATGTTAACATGGAAACCACACTTCATCAAAAAATTCCACCTATTTTGTCCATCAGAAAGACACCAAAGCCTTTCTGAAATATTCCGTATTGCCGGAATAAACGTGATACCATCCGAATTACAGAAACCGGAAAATAATGCGACGGCAATTAAGGGCGGATCCAAGATCGGTCATATTGTGGTCGACCCTTATGAACACGAGTGTCTGAATATCAAGACTCCGGACAGAAGAGACGCCTATGTTATTTGTATACATGATCCTTACAGGGATTTGATTGTATCTGGACATCTAAAGGTAAAATGTTTAGACAGACAAATTTGGGGATCTAGTGGTTAGCACTTAGGAATATGTGCATAGAAACTAAGTAAAGACGATGACCTTTTTCACGTCTACGGCATATTAGGTATATAGTTACTTGTTCATCATCATCATGTAGCAGGATCTTTGCAGAACGTTGCTCTCATCACGGTCTGCCTGAAAGAAACTCAGTCTCTCGCCATTTCTCCCGCCTTATGTACTTTCATACTCAAGGAGTCATTTATATCCTGTGCCCATCTTCGGCTGGTCTGCCCCTCCTTTCTGGAACCATGCCTTCTGCTATAAAATTTTTCCAATCCGTTTTGGAGCTTGATATGACCAAAACATTTCAGTTACTTGTTACTTATTGAAAATATCAACATCCTAGCATATTGATCCAACCAATTCGTTCTACGCCCTCCGATGCAGCAGCCATCGCAGTGTGTGCACGGTCAATGTACCTAGCAGGAGTTGATTGGCATATCCTTTTTCCTTACCCCGCAACCGGTTTCTATGTGCTTGTCTTCATTTAATACTCCTTTCCATCAGGCGACACACTGACTCCTTTGGTGGTTTCCCAATATCTCTCTCCCCCCCCCCCCCCAGGATGACGTCACAGGACAGTACAATATTTACGAGGGTGGTAAGAGAGGGTTTCCCGCCTTTCTGATGCTTTTAACTACACCAAAACATCTAGAACTGGGCCTAACCCCAACCCACCTACGTCCCACGATACAGTGTAGCCTAGATCCAACGACTGCATGCAGCCTGGGTCCCACGCCCATCTACCACCCCCAAAAATATTCGACTGTCTGTTTT